GCTTCTTGAGAAGGAAAGATCTTCGAGATCTGAGACTATCGTACTGTTTACCACAATTCGCTTTGAACTGGGTTTGTTGTCTACGATCGTATCCGATTCGAAATAAATTCGGCCAGATTGTGGATGAATCCACATTCCAGTAGCCATGCAAAAATCATTGCCAAGTATGAAAAATTCTGTTGCTGTATTACAGACAATATAAATTTTATGACGGAAGAAATGATTGTTCAAACAGATGTCAATATCTGTATGATACATTTGGTCATTGCGGAAGGTACTGGAGATTGTTGTGAACTGCAGCGAGGCTGCGCGATCATCACACGGATTGAACTGCAAATTCAAATTGACTGCTAAGCGTTCGCTTATTAGAGAACAGCTCGCGCCCGTATCAATGAGGACGTTAGTTGTTTGATTATTAATTCGTGCCGTAACGTATGTAGGTTTTACAACATTAGGCAAGGTCTGTGACCTTTTAATCATATCCGTTTGGTAATTGTAACTTGTACGTACAAAACTGTCTGAAAACCGTACCGATAGATCGTTGACGGTGACAGTGTCATATTTGTCCGGAGGACGCTTATAACGACCATACCAACCCCCGGTTCGGTAAGGTCTTAATCTTTTCCCGCTTCCGATTGCCAGAACTCGGGATCATGCTGTTCTTTCACAAAATCATCATACGCACGCTGTACGCGTTTACGTATGTACTCAGGACATACCGGCATAATGTCTCGTATATTACGAGCATCAACCTTTGTGCATTCTCTAAACGAGTGCTTATAATCTGTGCACAAAGGACAAAACAGTTTTCCAGACCGTAGTTTATATGACTCGAAGTTTATCTGAGAGCGTGGTATACGCCACTGGTTCACTGGCAAATCACGTCGTTCAGCACTAGCACCCTGGCGCTCACGTGAACGCGGGTGACTGCTTGAACGCTGACGGGAGCGATCAAATTTATCGCTACGATCCTGACTGCGGTTTCGCCAATCGCGATCCCGGCTTACCGGGCACGATGACCGATCACGGCTGTTGGCTCTCCACGTGCGCTCGCGGCTGTTGTCACGCCAGGAGCGAGTGAAACCTCGTGAACGGCTATCGCTACGGTCCCTTTTAGGTATACTGTAGTCGGCTCGGTAACCATTATAATTGCGATCTCTGTAAAAACGGTCCCGTGGACCTTCTGAATCACGTGACCGATCTCGGTAACGGAAGCGTGTCAGCTCTGTATTCTGTATCGTAATCGGCTGTGGCTCTTCTTTTGCGGCATTATCAATAAGTGCCAACGTAATCAGCTTACTGCGCATTGAATCAAAAGTCTTGCAATCACTGACCGCTAATAATTTGCGGTAGTCATTAACATGCATGAAAGCTCGAGTGAGTTCCGCAATCTTCTCCGTATCGGACATTAGCGGATTCACCTCGGCAAACAAGACTTGCAAATCATCCAAAAATTCTTCGACGTTCATTCCAATTTTAAAGAATTTTTGAGAAAGCTCCATACGTTTCGTTGAATGATAGTCCTCAGGTAGGTATCTCGCCACAAGTACTGCTTTCCAATCACTGTAGCTTTTAGCCGTATCAACGTTGTACGTTGCTTCAAAAAATCTACGAGGTGCTTCCTCGAGGAAACTGGGTAACATTTGCACCTTTTGTGCATCAGTCCATCTAAGAGCCAACGCAGCCCGTTCGAATTGCTTAAAGAAAGCGGTTATCGTATAATCGGTTTTGTTTCCGAATTTTTCGATAGCAAAATCTTTCACTGTAAGCTTATTTTCACGCGTAGTGGTTCCCGTGGATACATCACGTAGCGCGGTTACCAGTTCAGACATCGTTATATTCCGGTCAGGGTGTGCGGCTTGAAGCTCTGCGTTAAGCGCTCTGGCTTTTTGTAATTTTGCGTCAAGATTCAGCATTTTGTCTTCCATATCGGCGCATTGCCGTTGCATGTAATTATATGTATTTTCTTCCACCCGTTTGAGTGCTTTGTCAATTAGTTCTCTTTGATCGCGTGATAGCGAACCCATGAGTGTATCAAATGGATTTAAAGAGTTGTCGTGTGAACGAGACCTTGCTGACTCATGGTCCTGAGATGGGTTGTCGGCCGGCTGCTCATGTGACGGTTCGTCATCATGGTGCTCAGCTTCCTGATTTGTATCAATGCCAATTTCGGTAAGAAACTGTTCGACAGTTTTGTTCGATTCTGTGACAAAAGGCTGTATAGCCGTACTGAGCTGCGTTTTATTGAACGCACTCGTAAATCGAATTTGCATTGCAGTACAAATATGTTGCAGCTGCTCCTTTTTAAGGAGTTTCAGTACAGCGATGATATCGCCTGTATTTTCGCCCATTTTTTGGGTGCGTGTGCCAATATCGGCAATAAGCAATGCTCACAAGAATGTGAAAATAGGTTTGACACTGATTTACAGCGTGATAAGGCTTTGCTTGGTTGTATACCAGCAGACGCGCGCGCAAATAGCGGCAATAAGTGTATCGATGACCTTTGGACTTTCGTAATTTATCGACAATATTAATGAAAATATTCGGAAATTAATTCAGATATTATGCAGAAGATCGTAGATTTATTTAATCCGTCAATTAATTTTACCTTCGCGCGCAGGAGGTGTTGGCGTAGCGGTGGGTGGAGGAACGGTTGCACGTTTCACGGGTTTCCGCTTGTTGGCCAGCAATGTTTCCTCCAGTGAAGGATTTCGCGTGCGTTTCGCTCGTCCGGTAGTTAACGGAGTTGTATCCGGTTTGGATTTAGACATTCGAAAGGTACAAACAGGTACAAACAGGATTGCAGGGAATCGGAGTGTAAAGGCTGTATGGATGGTGGCCGTTTCGTTACAGGAGCGCCATATAACGTAGACTATAACGCTACGTACTGGATTGCCTTTCCGGCGGCCCAGTCGCCTAACTTGATCTAACTGTAATCAAGTTATGATGGTGAAGGAATAACAGAAATACAGGAACGCAAGAACAACAGGTTTTGGCAGAAGTTTAATGTCGATCGATCGGTCGTTCGTTCGTAAGAAGTCGTAAGAATTCATCTTCGTATACAGTAACAGACTGCCATTTTATAGGCGAAGAAACAATGAGTGTTTAGGAAGGCTAAATGAAATGGGATAGGTTTTTTTTGATTTAAGATTACACTCACAAAGTTTACACTTTACACTCACACAGTTTACTCATACAACACTTGTACATTATTAGTCACATACGCTATAATATATATATACATATACGTAATCACCGCTGCATTCAGTTTGTCTGCACGCCATGCATAACGTTGTCTGCAATGCATACTCAAGCTTCTCTCTGATGCACCACCAGTTATTACTTTGGCACATCACAGAGATGTCTCTACTCTAGTGCCGGAATCTCGTGCATAATTTCGCCGTGTTCCATTTTTCATTGTACGAAAAACCCTGTTGCAAAATTGCAAATACTGCATAAGTATTGAAAGTTATTCTATAGAATTGTATGCGTGTGATCGCGCTGTACGCGGACTGTAGAGCCAGCAGACACCGGACTTTAGTTACTAAGGCGGCAGCATGAACGGCACCAGTAGCTTCGACATAATTCTCTCAGGACACACTAGCTCTGAACTTTTCAACTTGTCACTAAACGTCACAACTTCCGCCGGTCAAGAAATATGGCCATTCGCCACCGTACTGGAAGCCATAGTTCTCCCCTGGGCTGTCATTTTAAACGTCACCATCCTGTTTTTATTCATCACCAACGATCGTCTTCATTGCCCATTTAACATTTACCTCGGATGTCTTGTGTCAACGGATCTCTAGATCTGCTACGTCATCATCAATAACCCTATGGAAATCAGTAATATCAATCCTTTTGCGTGGCGACTAAGTAATACAGCGTGCACGGTTTTTTTTTTGTATAACGCGCTCGTCATCAGTGGAGTCCAGGTGAACGCGCATCTCCTCATCACCCTGAACCGTCTGTGGGCTGTGACCTTTCCCTTTTCCTACCGTAATCGCAATATTACCAAAACTGCAGTGGTGCTGTGTGTTGGAATGTGGGTGTACGTGCACTGCCTGTGCTTGCCGGCTGTAATACTGGATGCCGTGTTTTATCGTTTACCTGTGACAAGGGCAGTGATTTGAACATGGCAGCCGTGAAGAACTTGAGCATTATGATGCAGTTTCTGGTGTACCTTCTACCCAGTGCCGTGGTAATTCTTTCTTGTCCATATTTGTGGTATGCGAGGAGGAAAAATCGATTGTTCCATGGCGTTGTTACTCCAAAGGTCAACGCAATGGAGATGCCAGAACGCGGAATGCCGATGGAACGTGGCAGTAAGACTGCACCGTTAGTTTCGGTGCTTACCGTGACGGTGGCCAGTACTGAGGTGTCAGCAAATGCGGAAGCTGTCCAACGTAGATTACAGTCGAAGTCTGGAAAAATGGAGAATACATATGCGTTTGCCATACTGACTGGCCTAACTATGAGTTTAATGGTTTGCTGGTGTCCACTATATTTATACTATGTAATGACCTCTTTTATGGATACCGTTCCGGACACTCTTAATGTTTTTGAGATAACGCATGCATTATTCATATTCCAGCCGATTGTGGATCCGATCCTTTTTATCATTGCACTACCCGATCTACGGGCAGCTTTTGTAGGAATCTTTCGCGGTAGAACCAAGTGGTGCAAATGAGCTGTGCCTCAACTGAAATATTAATACATTTTCTCCTGTTTGTTCACACTTTTTTATTGTAGAAGTACTGAAACTTGTGTTGGTTAACTGAGCCAAAGCTGTATTAAAGCCATGGTTTTTAACTGAGCCATGGTTAATCATAGTAGTTAACTAGGCCAGAACTGTACGTACTGACTGCACTGTACAGATATTCGGAAAGTGTGTTGTACTCATGTCGGCAAGAATTAGCTGGAACTAAAGTAACCGTAAAACAAGTAAAGCATCCACCGTAGCGATCTGGCATAGTATGGCATAGTACAGAATACAGATCTACTGTAGTAAAGTATAGATCATCTAGCGGTCAATATTGCATGTACTACACTACGAGTACAAGCCTTGGTTTTAATAATTACGCTAATTAATTATACACGTCCGGTTGTAATGTGGATTCCAATGCAAATACTTCCTCAGCTATGGACAGAAGTTGGATGAGCTTTGTTTGTACTGCAATTCTGTTTATAGGTAAGCCAGCAACAAAAGGATGATGTTTACCGTTATTGCTTGTGCTGTTAATTGTAAATTTGTTGTCGGATTACTTAGTAGAGCAGGTAACGTATGGAAATTATATAAGACTATTAGTGGAAATTTTCAGATTTATCAGCAAATGGCTATTATAAACTGGGGCAACACTTATTTATTAACTGTTTTGGATGCTATTAGGTGTGTGCGGCGGCGCCGAATACAGATACGCCAGTTTTCGACAAAATGCAAGAACGGTATTGTCATACAGTCCTAATGTTCGCCACTCTCGAGTACGACCAACATGCCAGGAAATTCCAGTGCTGAAACTTACTGGGAATACCCTTATCGCCAATTACAAAAAGGTAATTAGTTGTTATAATGCGATTTCCCTGCAGAGTGCCACGTAATCAGCGTTATATTTTGGGATGGAAATGTATAAATAAATTCAAGATGCGATTTTCTGTAACGAGTCACTGACCTTGTCTCAGTTGCAATAACACTACCCTATTAATTCTGCCCGTGCTCGTTTTTTTTATTTCTGCTCGTGCACATTCTTACGTCAATCTGAAGGAGTAAAATTTGTACTTTACCAGTAAAATTACCGAAATGCTTTATTTTGTCGTGTTTATATGATCGTTAATCCCGATAATGATAATATTGTATCTAATAAAGATCACTGGCAAGTGGTACGGGTACTTGACCTATTCGCCGGATGTGGAGCGAACCACTATGCCCGCTAACTTCGTTACCTGTCTGCAAGATATAAATAAAGCGGCCAACCCATACGAGCCATTTGTTTTCCAACAAACGCTCTACGGATATTTCCAACCATCGAAATTCTTTACGTCTGCCAAGCTGATCACTGCATTACCGGATTCCAACACATATCAGATCAGCAATCCACGATGCCGATACCCACCGGAAAATTCACATGGTATGGAATGCCCTTAAACATGGCGTAAAAAATAATTTGGCAAATGGCGCAACTACGTATCTGACTTTTTAATAAAGAACATAGTAAACCAAAAAACTGAATCTTTCGTAATTAGAGGTTTTTGGTTTAGAATGCCTCAGTAATGCCATGATCGTGGACACGGATTATCATTCCTACCTTTTGATATACGAGTGTCAGCTCGCTGACATCCAGGTGAATAGCTGCTTGTATCCCACCTATATTCTGTACACTCGCGAGCGCTCCAGTCAGTTTTCCAAAGAAAAAATTACTTGGTTGGGAGAGATCATTAACCGCAATATCCCCAGTGCCTGCGCGGATGCACGAGATTTCATGGCGTATGAATGGAAGGACAACGCACCGGAATGCCAAAATCCTGTCACCTGCTTTAACGGTTGCCCGTAACGGGTGTCGATATAAGGCCCTGATCCCGACTCGAGAGTGACTGTAGCATATTTCTCACGCAGTACTCTCTCATTTCTCCAACATGTTGTCATCCATTGCAGCCACCTTTCTTGTTATATTCTATATTTTTATCTAACTACCATCCTTAATTTCGACGGGTGACTTCATACAATCTATGCATGTTGGTAGGCTTTAAATTATCGCACGTGATGTTTGTTTATAATTATGTTGTTGACTTCTGTTTTCATTAATACGACCGTATTTAAGCGTAATTTGCAAATGATATACATATTTTTGCTTTGCATACAGCAGAATTTTAGTTTTGATGTTTTATCTACTACAACATTTTAGAATTTTATCTGTTTCTCGCACCCAAATAATTCTTATAAAAACTGATCGAGCCACGTGCCGGTGTCATCGTAATAAATTTGAGAAGAACAATCAACTAAGGTTACATATACCGGCTGATTGCAATCAGCACCTACCAAAGTGCAAAAAGGCGAATGACCGCTCACATTACTGCAGTACACCACTAATTTACATCGACCTTTAGCACTCGGGAAAATTTGTTCGACATAATACCGTTCCTTGAACCATACTGCACACAGGCATGTCCAGACAGCAAAGGTTCCACACCTATCGTAATACGCTGGCACAACCGCTTTTTTATGCGCAGTGCACGAACTATCATCATCGGTCATCGAAACGCGAGATCCTGCAAATTAAAAAAACCGCGTTGAGATTCGTAATACTGCATCTACTGTATAACCAGACAAGCTGCCAATGTCTTTATGCGTTTTTTAAAACATGGCGATATTTGAATCGTTTTACAAGCGAATAAATGGTAACTAAACAAAAACCTAATTTCTTCTGTATGTACTTAGATTAAGAAACGGTCTCGACATGCAGCAGTGCCGTCCGTTCAGCTATATATTAGCCGGTAAGACGAAAGTTTTCTTATCTTTGACCTTGCACCATTGTTGTCAAAAGGTTTGGGCCTGCTTGTCCAGGTGGCACGTGGTTTCCAGGCACTAGGTATTGGTCCGACCAATCGGCCAGTAGGCAGTCCGTACAGTCGGCCGCAGGCATCCTACCGGACGCTGAGTTATCCCGGATACGAGCGCTGTCAGTATGGAGTAAATGTACCGAATATCATTCGCGGACAACTTACGAACGTTGAAGACGTACGTTCTCTGTTGTTTAATATTGTACATACTGTACAGTATCTGTATGCATATGCACTATAGTTCTGTTAGTTGATTGATAATCATTATCCGGCTAATCAAAGTAATTAATAAATAAATTATTTTTTAGTTGCAGTTAATTTTGATCTTTGTATTACCGTATAATTCCGCTAAAATGTATACTCGTATACAGTGTTATGTTTTAGTTGATGGGCATATGGTATGGCGCACTCGCATACCCTGACTACGCTGTTATCACGGAGAACTACCAAACGGAGTTCGTATCGTACGGAAAAACACATCTTCCCGGGACCAACACACCAGCTTATGCCGTATCCAGAACGGAATCGTATTTCAACGTCACCAGTACGAGCATCACGGGATGCATCGACAGCTTCGCGGCTACGTATGTCACGGTCGACGGACGGCAGATTGGTACCGCCTACGTTCTGGGAACTGATCCAGCTGACCCAACTTCTTACATTGTTGGTGAGAATCACTTTTAATCCCTAATGAGTATTGTCTACGTACGTGCTATTTGCATCACGAGGGTGTGCAGCTATAAATTATCATGACGTTTTCAAAACTTATTTGCAGTAGAATTACCTAACCACGGGTATATAGATATAGTATACACAACAGAGCATGTACATATACTATATGGATGCGGATATATTGTATGGCATATAACGTGCTTGAGCAAAAACATATTTTAAATTTTTACGATTAATTACTGCTGTATACGTTTACTTTAGAAATACAGGTAAGCATGCCTTTTCACCGCGCAAATACCGGTATTGGGTATTCTGTATTAATATTAGGGAAGTGAAATTGATTCGCTGATGAACGCACGGCTTTTATTGCATTTTGCGGAAGTTTGTAACACACTGGCATTCATTTTTTAGTAAGCACCGAACTGATAATTGTCTACACGGACTACGGGACTATGTGTCTGATCTATCAGTGCGGTCAACGGAATGAAGATAGCGGCCATTGTGATTCCCCTCTGTTTTATGTTCTGACAAAAACCCGTCCGGACCAGTTAACGAGAAAAACGAAGGAATATATTGATACTGTCATCAACGGCGAGCTGCGCCCATACTGCATTCGTGCCACGGATTTCACGGAGCTCACCTGGAATACCGCGCATGCCGCCTGCCCGGCAGCGACGGCACCTGACTGCTACATACAACTGATGGACTCCATCAAGGACACAGTCACGTATTAAAAATTCATGAGCTCCATGCTTTTGCTACATTCGATATCGTATGTTCCGTAGCCGGCTGCATGTTGCGTACGTTACAACACCTGCTGGAAACGTTTACCTATGTCATAAGAAGCAAAGTTCATGCTGCCATTAAATGTAGGATAACTCTGTTCCCAGAACATATGTTTTCCACTCCTGCCACTTCAATTGTCATGTGAGCTGATTTTGCGATGCCTGAAATTAAATTAAGCATCGTATTTAAAGTTATTCCGAACTCTTACTGATTTCTATGAACTCTTGACCAAGGTGTAGCTGTTCTGTGCCCAATTTAATCTTACAAAAATCGTCGATTGTGCTTAAAATATTTTTGAAAGCGTTTCTAGTCGAACTTCAAATGTAATTCCGAATACATCCACTTCTGTTGATAAACGTCTGTTTATTTATTGCTGTACAATGAACAATACTAACACCAGCAACATCATAATATATGAAGAAAGGTCATACTACCCCATCTTCATGGGCGCTTCCATTTCCATCGCTGTAGTTTCTCTCGTTCTAAACTCTATCGTTCTCATCGCATTTCTCGTGAAAGCGGAACTCCGCACTAGTTTTAACGTATACTTTGTCAACCTGGTCTTATCCAATGTCCTATATTCTCTTCTCAATGTTCCAGCCGATCTCGTCATCGCCTTCTATGGATACAATGAGCTGTCGAACAGTCTGTGTCTACTGCAAGAATACGCCGAATGGATACTGAGCAGTTGGCAGTCGTATGCTCATCCCTTGATTGCCGCCAGTCGTCTGTGGGCCATTGTGTCGCCAGTGTCCTATCAGCAACGTCATAAACCGTGCGTGGCGGTCATTTTGTGCGCATGCAGTTTGTTACTCGCTCACATTGTATCGGGTCCTGGTATAATAATGTTTACCGCTCTGGACGGATACGATTGTTTTGCGGATATCAACAACCAAACCCCACTCCGCATCAAAATATGGGCTACTTTTGTGGAGCTGTTCTCGTTTTTCTTCATGCTGATATTTTTGCTGCAGTATATTTTCGTGTGGCAGTTTTACAGCAAAAGGTCAGCGAAGCATTGCTGCCTGGGCGCGCTTGTCAAGATGACAAAACGTTATGGAAATTCCATTGAGCTTGACGTGAATCATCCGCAACCGACGCACGGTACGTCACAGTTAACCGACAAAGTAGGTAGATACGAAATAAATTCTGTCTTTCGAGCTTATGGAATATGCATACGTAGCAGCATTACAGACATGTCTAGCGTAATTAAGTGCTTAAAGTGTAGCATATAATTAATTCAGTAACGTTATTATTATTTTCTCATTGTAGATTTTACCGAGCATAAAGTTACCGCTCGGTCGCGCACGTTCTGCTTGCTGACCTTTATGACGGTTAGTATAACAATCCTATGGCTACCTTCGACAATCTACTATGCCATAATACCTTTTCTTCCAAATTTCGATCCACCAACATATGATGCCATGCATTTACTGTTCGAGCTACAGTCCATTGTCGATCCAATCTTGTTAATGGTTTCTCTGGAACCACTGCGCAATATCTTACGATCCAGCGGGTTTTGTGGATGCTAGGTACAGGAGTGCCGTAAGATAATCCCGTGGCGATGGCTCAGAACTTCTTTATGTCTATCACACTTCCTAATGAAATCTTTATGATAACTTATTTTTATATGTATTTGCCAGTCCGCGCAATTCAGCCAGTAAACATGAATCCGGGAAAAAAGACTCGTATATACTGGAAGTCATACAATGCCTTGCTGCTGAACTTACATTCGAATGAGCGGGTCGGAAACTAAGGATTTCCACATTTTCTGATCGCGCTTGAGGCTTGCGCTGAAATGCCGCTTCGCGCATTGCTTCAGAAATGACTACTGCACGTGATCTTTTAGATCGGTAATTTCATTTTGTGGCTCAAATATACAGGTATGTGATGCACGATGACTTTATTACTGTTACTAAGTGTTAGAATGTCCTCATCCTTTAGCTTAATAACGTCTTAATCGCATCTGAACAAGACTGCAGTCTCCTCATTAAACACCGCCACTACAATAACTTCGAACTCCAGGTCGGAGGTTCAAGGCGCAAAACATACGTAATCATCACCGCTATAATACTAGTATACCCACATGGAAGCAAAACATAGGATTAGACTTCTAAGTCCACATTTTCTTGCCTTCACGTGGGTTACACTTACGCATAACATAGTCCCACTGTGTCTGATTTTGATTACTGGACCAGCCTTAGAATATAGTCTAATACCAGATTTGCATCCCCACGCTTGATCCGGTTCTTTCAATGAAAATATTCGGCAACAACTGGGCGGATTTTCTTTTCCTTCGTACAAACTTTCCAACTTTGATACCTAATACTGTTGGAGCAAAGGTCACTGAAAACGCTATCGCCCGGATATACTAGCCAAAAATTGTCAAGACAGTATTAAATTCCAATATGTAATGAACCACGTGAGAATTATTCCGGAATGAAACACAGAACGCCCGAATTAAATGATATAATTAGGTGGCTTTATTTCCAGCGAATGTGACAGAGATTAGTCTTGGGACACACTTCTTATCCTGTTATAAGTAAGGACATTGCCGCCGCACTTACCAGTAAGAAATTTTAAAGGGCGAATTACGAACATACTGCAAAATAAGTGCCACTGTTACTTTGTCGACAAGCTTTCTTACGTAGTAACTTTACCTTTTTACTCGGCGTCTTGTCTACGTTTTTCGGCTGACTTTTGTAACACCTTTATGACCCGTGTTGCTTATGGCCGTTACTCCACTGTGACTTATGATTTTCTACCACCAAAGAAATTTTTATTTGTTTGAATTAGGTTGTGGAATCTTGGATTTGGAATTCCACAATGGTTTGTTTGTAGTACATTCAAGAATATTTGTACATACAGTTTATGTTTTATTAAGTACATCTTGAAGTCGTCTCCACAGTCTTCATCTTATTTATTTTCCATAAAATTAACAACTTTTTTTGTAGAGAATCTTTTAAGGTGACCAGTGATCTACATTTTATAAATATATATATATATAGCCATAACACCAACATAATACTTTAATTACTTTATCAAGGCTTCCGCAAGCTAAAGATCCACATTAACGGATCAAAAAGGATTTGCACGGTGTACAGCATATGCAGCGCACCCGAAACAGCATATCCAATGGGCATATACAGAAACACCATGCAAAAATAGATGACGTCTAATGGCAGCCAACAGACAATGACACCAACCGTTGTCATTGTCAAAACCAGAAACGGTTTTACTTTCCGAACGCCAACTGTTTCTCTGCGTGGCCTATCCATTTGCTGCTGTTTAGCTCGTTCCACAAATGATGAATGACCTACACTTTCCTCCTGAATTCCCGGCATAGCAGTGTACAGTTTGGTTGTCTGTGTGCGATCCTGTCGCTCCGTGGAGTTAGTGTTATGGGTGACCTGGTTGGTGCGCTTACTCCAGCGCTTTATAAAAATATAAATGTACACTCCAATAATTAGAAACAACGGAACGAAACGATTTAAGCAGCTGTCCACCCGCGTCCAGACGAACATCATGGGTGTCATCGCGCCTTCACATTTTATGACACCGGACGCATCGGGCTTATACCGAAAGGGCATGTAGAGGATAAATGCCGGTAGACATATAAGGTGCACATAGCCAGCCATCGCCACGCAGATATAAGTGGCGACCTTTTTTGTGTGGTGGTTTTTATACCCGATCGGATACGTCATCGCCCATAGCCGGTTGACCGCGATGAGGACATGCGCCATCACCGGCACAATACTGACCACACGTTGGGCGTAACTGTAGACCCCGCAGGCTGCCGGCCCGAAGTATGCCACGTTGACCGAGTAAATGTCGCTGAGAAACTGGATGGGTTGGGCGCCGACCAAGTAAATTGTGTTGGCAATATACAGGAATAGTAAGTAAATCGTGAAATGTGTGATGAAAGACCGTTTAACGAAGTGGAATATCAATACACCGGCGTTCATGATAAAAGATGCTAGGGCGATGGCGATGCGGATATTGGTGATGACTGACCAATTGGCACGGGCAGCGGGCTGCGCTGGCCTGGACCAATTGGAAGCTGTCGTGTTATGGAGATCCATCGCTTCACAAAATTACTTCCGAACAAAAACTACTACGAGTCTGTAACACTGGTCCTCATCTAGGTTTTATGTAATTTTACTGGTCACACGGATGTCTTTCTTCCAAGTAGACATCATATCAATTATCAAACAAGGATGAAGTGTAGATGATGACTTATATCTAGGTCTAATGGTAAGCGACGCAATAAGCAGGATATTAATTAACGGCGAAACACAGTGATAGGTTCACGAAGGATTGGCTTTCCGCAAGTACACTAATTCCAGAGCGACTTCGAAGTAGACTGATATGTTGACAGGATTTAATTAACAAACTCTCCTTCGAACGGATGTTTCGCATACTGGATAATCGGCGCGGTAGTGTAAGATATTGTCCCGTATATACCATGCATAAGAATGCTATGATCACGAGATATGACATACTGTGATATCAGTAACATGTGACCTTTACCAATTAGCAGTAATCTCGGATAAAGACGGATATCCAGTCCGTTTAGTAATTTGGTGTGGAAAAATTACCTGCGTTTCCCTCGCCAAACATGAAATTTTAAATCCCCTGGAATGATGGATCGTGCCCCACCTCATAACCTGCGGTATCGATATTCGGCATTTCAGCTTACCTATCTGTAGTGCACAACTGTGCGTATAAGCTATATATATCAAATATATTCCAAACTTTCGCTTTCTAATGATCGCACAGTAGCACAGTCGAAAGAACAACTGACGTTTAATTTTTCAATATCACACTTTCCGGTCCAAGATCACGCTCAACTGATTTTTACAGATGTCAGCTTGCATTGCTTCACTGCTGACCGGGTTACTCCCAGATTCCGGAAACCTGCCACTGGCTGTTAGGTTTGGTGAATGAAAAGTAATTGGCAGCACAGAAGTCAGTTGTTCAATTCTGACGACACCTAGCCATATTACTCGGACGAAAAACCGTGGCCGGGTGACATTTAAGAAACGTGACAGTAGTTGAAAGTTAAATCGGAAGCAGTAAATGAAGGACTATGATCAAGCGTGATAAGAAGAGGTACGCAAAAATATTCTATAGTCTATAGATATATACGCACGTGGTCCCATAACATACGTAGGCGGAATAGTACTCTAGGTAATACGGTGAACCCTACCGGGTAAGGGATTCCTGAGGTAATACAATAATTATTTTCACTCACAAAGTAATGTTACAACAATCAGCGGCATGTGCATAAATACTACAGTACGAGATAATTTTACTCAGCACACTTAGCAAAAGGCAACGCCTTGGGCTGGCATCTTCTAAATGAAGAATAGACGGAACTGTCCCCAAAACACTCTGAGCATTACCGTGTTAAATCTTGAGGCTTAAACGTTGTGGTTATACGCTATACTTAAGTATAGACTCATTGCCGTTGCACTAGGAGTGCGAGAAGAATGAAGGAACATTCCGTGCGAGAGGAATGTTCATTCATTCCTCTCGCACTCCTAGAGCAACGGCAATGATAGACTATATTACGCAGTAGTGTACTACAGCCTTCGTTTATCCATATGCATAAAATATAATTAATAGCAGTATTTCAAGAGCAAAATACCGTATTAACTAAATTCTTGCAAAAGGCATTGTAAAAACGTTTATTTAAAGTAAAAGCATCCTTAGATAACTGCACGGAGCGAACGATATTAAACATCTATATTTAACAAATACACACCTAGAAAAGCATCAAATTCAATAATCAGTGCCGCGTCATGCTTCTAAAATTAACGGCGATACTATAAATACGCTGCGATACATACGGCGCTAATGAAATCATCTGCTATGTCACAACATACAATATTACATCCATTAGAAAAATTTGTATAAAGAAATAGCTACTCTAGACTAAGAAAACGAATTGGAGAAGCCAACCATCACTCTGAACAGCATCCCGTGTTAAATGTTAATGTACAGAAGCAAAGCGCTTTCCGGTATATGCCCGCGAGACGTCCCATACGGCTGCCACTCCAGCTCAGCGAACGAAGAACAGCGAGTAGTAGTGCTTCCGGTTCAGGTGGACCCTCAACAGCATTCCTTGCAGCATTCTAAACAGCAACAACACAAAGCAGCACAACATGCTCCGGCGCAGATCTTGGCGCAGATGCCCTCTTCTTTCGGCGGTGGTTGCTGGTACCTGCAAAACACATCGATAGTACATCAACCCGTTTATTGAGTACACACGTAGATAATACGGTATAATACGAGTATTTACGGTATTTACGACTTTATTAAAAATGTTTGCTGATTAATTAACAAATTTTAATGTTACACTGATAATACTATCAGGGTCTATGGTTTACGTGTAGCTCTACGACTATGCGATTTCTTGTAGAAATTCAGTCAATATCGTTTTCTTGCATAATCCAGTTTACAAGTCTATTACGTAAATTATTCTACCCTGTGTACCCAGTTTTAAAAAAACAGTTTGCCAAAACGCTTACATCCTTTTTCCGAGAGAGAATTTCACCTATACACAAGAAATACGAGGGTAGTTTTACTTTTAACATGCTAGGGACTTACACGACTTGTCCTGGAACGGTTTGCACATATTGCACTCCAGGTCCGGGTTGCTGGTCATAGTACACGGGCGGAGGCTGGTTGCTCACGTACTGGACCGTGGTACCGCCGGGATACGCTCCTCCGGATGGATAACCAGGCTGCGCATAATACACTTGCTGCTGTGGCTGCTGGGGATACGGATAGGACATGGTTTGGAAAGATTACAAGAAATCGTATAAAATAATAAATGAACTACTCGACCAAATCGCTCACAATTGTCAGTTGTAAACAGTCAATGACCAAGTGATCTGTCACCATGAATCAGGGAATAAGATTTTCAGGAAATTAATGTGATGTTGACGGTGGAATTTACACCATAGAGGGGAATATGGATACTTCAGCACGGATGCGGATTCAGAGACCCTGTGTATGTGCATACAGCGTACTTATGAAATCATCGACTTCCCTAGAAAATATGATCGGCATGCTTTATGCAGTATGCACGATTGTGAGGCCGTAAGCCAGCGCGATCGATATCGGCATGTTCAAAACTGGTCAGAGTGTACGCAGTAGCTACATTTTAATGATGAATCAGCTGGATATACCGGTTTGATTTAGAACTACGCCATATACAGATATGCAGGTAACAGAATTCCGGTGTGTTTTAAATAAAAACCGCCAGACACTTTTTGCGCCATGAAATGCAATGGTGCGATGGCGACTAGTATCGCTTTCTCTAGAGAAATAATGAATAATTTACGGAAATGACGGGCTGAGTGTAGCAGTATTAAGCGCTGGCACCACTTAGGGAATATTGTTACACTTTGTTTTTATGAAAACTACTGGTAACTAATCGTAACAAACATAAGTTTACGTGTAAGACATTCCCAGTTGTCTAACTTGCACTTATCAAGCATACGGAACCGTTTAATTTTCGCTTGGCTGGACAACAGACAGTGTAACTAAATGCAGAGTGTTTCGCGATGTTGCTAGTAGCTACAATACAAAGTACAAACTAACCTAAGTTGCATGTATTGTATAGAGTATTGTACAATACACACTATGTACTAGTACTTGGGCGTTCCGAACCGAAGCCGGCAAAGCATAGCCACCCTCTGGTCGAATATAAAATGGAAATTATCATCACACTTAAATCAAAACCGACAGAAAACCGGGAACGACCATGCTGCTTTTATGCAATTTCGTGTTCAGGATACCACCCCCCGCATTCTGGTACTAATGAAGACACCGGGAGACTTCTACCAGCTTATGGTCGAAGAAAATATTAATATGAGTCTTGTCCATTTTTATTACACGAGTACCGTATGAAATATTGCGCGATGCAATGTATGCACCGAAACGTATTCGCACAGCCCGATGCAATGCGAAAGGCATTGCGCATGGCTCTGCGCATTGTCTGCTACCGATTCAATTTAAAAAAATTTTTCCAGTGACCTTACTTTTTCTTCAAAATTGATTTAAAAATCTTTGAGAATTTTCGCTAAATACGCTTTAAAAGTAGTGTACCTTGCAAAACACACCCAACTGCAAAACTCTGTACGCGCATATAACTGCCGAATGTATACATAATGCTTTATGTAATTGTTCCGGTTTTGTTCTTTTTCCGGTAAAAGGACATTGAATCTCTTATATTCATTTTTGGGGCATGCAAGAAGCCTTTAGCGTCAGTGGTGTTTCTGCGTCACACAACATTTTCCCTTCGCAGTTTTTTTGTTGCATAGTAATCGTAAACATTTTTTCGGCCTCCTAGTCTATACCTTTTCTTTCATTTATAAACCGAGACAGATGACAATGCTAAATGTACATTTGTATTAATGTATAAGCTAACCAAGTGGATATATATAATCACAATGCCAAGACACAGAAATTTGCATCACTTAATTGAATTAAAACCAATAACAACAATTTGTAGGTTTTATAGCTCATTTCTTGTATGTATTAACATAATTTTTTAGGCAAGCACGGCTTTTTTGCTCAAAATGACATTTGCTTATCACATGTAAACATCAGCTTGTTTTTTTTGCTGATCCTCATATGATCCCATGTATATGTATTATTTTAAAAATTATCATTATTTCAAATTGTTAACGTATTTATACGCGAGATTTTCTCAGTAACGCTAGCCCTAATAAGTTGCTTTTCAGCAACATACCGATACTAAGCTAGATCACTGAGATACCACTGTGCATTTGCATGATTAGTTTTTAGTTAGCATTGTATGAAATAAGTAATTTACTTTTACATCTTGCAGTTAATATGTAGATAAACTGTATTCTGAGTTAAGGTTCTGAATCGCGTAAGCACGTCACACTACAGCGTATAATATTATTACAAGCATAATAATATGTACATCAGAATTTTTGTATTCCACCGGCAGATTCATGCTGTGGATGAAAAACAGAAACAGCGGTATATCGATATCCATCACGGTGCAGCCGTAACTCGATACACATGGTTAAAGTAGCTGACAGAGTGTATATAGTATAAAATCTGGCGGTACTTGTTCTCGCGAATCTTATTGGATCTTTTTGTACATTACACTGTACATAATGCACATGCTGGTCTTTTGACGGCACTACTTGTACCGTTTTTCCGAGCCACATCTCCATCGATCTTTCAAAGCGGTCTTTGCACTAATAACCTCAGCGAAAATAGAAGTCGATGCAATTGCATACGCGCACGAAAAATCCAAAAAAACCACCGCTGTACCACTATAGCTGCGCTAACTTGTCACTTGTAATCTTCTGTCGTCTGGCTTCTGTATCTTTGGGTGATTTTCGTTCGCCACTGCAAATTAGGAATCCTTATTTTATTGATGGGAGAAATACCACATAAAACCGCAATCTGGCTATATTGGCTGCTGTGCCGTATGGAGTTACGCTGACCGGAAATGGCTTTTGTACGCCCTCTCAATCAAATGCAGGCAAGCTTATGTTATGCAGACCATAGTGCGGATAGTAAACTGCGACTGTATTGTATTCAACTGTTAGCTTTTGTAATTCAAAGCGAGATCTGATTATTTCAAGTGTCGAACGATACCAGTGCAAAGCAACAATTTTACTATGGATTGTTCTATAATCCATGGTTGCTTTGCAATTTGCACCACCATTTTTCACTATATTTATATCATTCTTATTATCGATATATCGCTGCTGAAGTTAATAATGCCATCAATGGGTGCCTAGTAGTCATTAATTTATTTTCGTAAAATTTCTTTGATTGTTTAAATCAGTAGGCAGCAGTGCAGAAATGATCATTTTAATGTGAAAATATATTACGGTGAATATTTTTTGTTGCATTTTACATGGCCATATGCACGTACTTTGCTATGTTACTTGAATTAATGTCATTACCTGCTTTAACTGCAAACGTCACTAATTAGTAACATTCAAGGATCAGAAAATGTACATTTATTATATATTTGTTCAGTATTAAAATTATTATATATGTATACAGATTACTCTAATCGAATTATTCAGAATTATTCGAATCAAATTACAACGGTCCAAAAAAATGCTGCATCACTTTCTGCGTATCAACCGCTTTGTTGTTGAAATAGCATTTAATTGTATTTTGCAAATAAAGACTTTAAAGGAATATACCAGCTTATGCTCAATACTTTGCTCAAGTAATTTGTTGCAGTCGTAAAAACAAGAAAACAATTAATCATCCGGCAATAGGCGGCATATGTCACGAATCGATTCATACAGACGCGCAATATTTCAGTTCAGTGCTGTGCTATACACCTGATTCACACCTTGACGTGCCTTGATATAGACTGGATACCGGCGTTCGATGTATGAATCAAGTCGATTACTAAACACCCACGTAATTGCCATCATAGAAAAGCCAATAATTCCGTAAATGTTTCCCCAACACCAACTCGAAACGATTGTCAAACACTCGCAACGCCCGGTACTTTAATTTTCCATTTTTATAGGATCGTTTCGGACGAGAGAAAAATCCAGGTTAATGACACTTCACCGTCGGCATCCAGCTGGATCTGTGCGACATGTTTAACGACTTTTTCATGATAACGCATTCGGTGCAGTGCGCTAATAAATTTTGGCGCTTCGCGTAAATGATGCGGAAAATTATCGGATGGCAATGCTGTACAATAATTTATTAAAGCTATTCCCTGCACTATGTTGGGGCCTAGTTATGCTGTTTGGAACGACACGGGCGCTGGCGCCTACCGTCGATCCCCGGATACAACTTTTGAACCTGGCCAACAATGCCGGTATAAAAACCAACCGATTAGTTCCTTTTGATTATTCCTGGATTCTTACCGGACCTGTTGGTAAGCCAAGAAAGCGAAATAATTTACCCATAAAATGAATTGTAGAAACCGTAGAATTTTGTTGTGCGTATTGCTTTGTCTTGTGATTTTTATATCTCGTACTTTGTATTTCAACTTTTTTTAATTTTTAGACAAATTCTTTCACGATATTTTCGTCATAAAAATGTAATCTGCTTGAATAATTAAATTTCAATTACGAATAATAAAAACGTGTGTTGATAAACAAAAGTACTACAAGTATAATAATTAATATTAGAAAATTTAACTCCAAATATGAAATATGCACTTACAGTTAGACAAACAAGCAAGTTTTTTTGCGTATGATTCGCTAAACAAAAGCTTTAAAAATCTTTTGCAGTTCAACCTAGAAAACTGTTTAACTGTAATTAATAATTGACGGCTTTCGATACAGAATTTGATTAATGTGACTGTTTTGTGCTAATTACGACGTAATAAAAACGACCAAAAACTCAAATTTCATAACTTCAACTGGACGTAAAATTCCTTTGATTTCACACACAATTTGTTTGTAGGTTTAGGTTTTGTAATTTTTTTAATTTTTAGATCCCAGAATTCGAGTACACGGCCTACTGGAGACGACGGATGTCCAGTGTCGCAGTCTGCCCGACTCCTGGCAAGTCAATCGCACCGGCCTACGCACAGCCTGTCAGTGTGAGAAAATTCTCTATAATCGCGACGGCGCCGCTTTAAATCGCTTCTCCGATACACGTTTGCGAGAGTTGGGCAAAGTGACCGGCGGCGTAGCGTTCTCATCCAACGCCACCTGGTTAAACACCGGTATCAAGTACGTGGAAGCCGGCATTTGTTATCCGGGCCCTTGCTGTCCACTGATCACTTCCGGTGATAAAGCAGCGGCTATTACTTTGAACGCTCTGGACAACGTCTACGCCAGCTTGCCTTTGAGTGCATCCAGTGTTTTGTTTGCAAATTTTTTGCCAGTGATGACTATTTATGTCTTCCACTACTGTTTACAAGGATAACTGCACTATTATTTAGTACGCTGTACAGTCCACAACTGTCTCTCAGATAATTTAAGTCAGCTAAATAAAGCGTAACTTGCCAAAAGCCCGCCCAAATTTTATCAATTCCGAGAACCGCATTTCACGAAATCATTAGGCACATATGTTGTTCGAATTTAATATTAGCACATTATGTGTACATATATCATTTAAACGTCAAAAGATTGTGAAATGTATATTCTAAGGTAATTGCCGTACGTTACGTTTTCTTATTGATCGATCACGTTGTATCGTTTCGTTACCCATCATCACCGGTAAAAGACCATTTCTTTTACTGTACAATTTTTAAACGAAACAACAGAAGAGAAAAAACAATCAATAAAAATATCTTCAAAAGTGCACAATATCATAAAGTCTGTGACAATACTAAAAACAAGAATGACATGCCGTGAAATCAGCAATAACAATAAAAATTACAGCGACATTGTCGAACGCTTCGGTAGTACGAGAGGAACACTTTGATCATTTAAAAGTTTGTGTGTTGAACAACAGCGCGTCTCAATGTGAGATATCCGCATTCAGAAGAAATCGTCAGCCCACAACCTCGTCCATCCCCGGACCCCACCGGTGTGCGGTCAATGTTATGAAAAACCGCTTGCTGAATTTAGCGTCATCTCCTCAACGAAAAGGCATCCATCATGATGGTTATTGTAGCAGTCAGAAGAGTAAATAAAATAAAAGCTGCAAAAATCAAGAACCATTTAAATCGGCGCATCCAGACGAGCTATTTTGAAAAGTACACAAGTAATACGTGAGCAAAAAAAATCCCCCGGAGAACGAGTTACAAGTTCCAGGATCAACAAACACGTATTAATACTCATAAAACTTCAATTACTAATTTACCAGAAAAATTCAGAGCGTGAAAGATTGAATAAAAAAATACAGCTCAACTTCATTCGAAGCCGGCCAAATATTATGTAATCACATGCCAACTTACCAGAATTATTGTTCGCTCCATTGCCATACCAGTACGCTTCCTCTTCCGTCCGCTCCCGAATTCTCCGCGCCTGCATTGACAAACAGACACGCATGGTCAACAACGAAAGCCCACCCAGGCAGTCAACAGTCATCACTGTCAGTGCCTCACCGTTTCCTCTTCCAACTCGGCGGTGCACATGTAATAATTGCGTGCAAAGAGATTCAATGCCACGAGATGCTCCAGACGGCATGTGGCCGTATCGCCGGAAGGTACGCATTTCAGCATGTCTGGATTCAGCTGTTTCCTATTCAACGGCAATCACATACGGCTTAACCTACTATAATGTAGCTTTTACTGCTTTATTTATCGTCGCTTTATCGTCAGGAGTTTACTAGCGGTACGAGCACAGAATCTATAGTTAAGACACTATCTCAATTTTAAATTATACATCTTCGACAAAAAGAGATAAAATTCACCGTTTAATACTAAACACATAACGCACTGTAACCGTAAAACAATAATGATGCCATTTAGCTAAAAAAACTGGAGTTCATAGAGATAACAATTTATAATGCAGAATTACAACGAAACAGAAGTAGTTTCTGTCGTACCTGCAGATTTCACCGTTGCTAAACATGGATTTAGCTTCACTGAGAGACACGAGCTGATCAGGTGTAACAGAGAAATCCAAACACGCCAGCACTTCCGGATGAGCGATATTATCCGAGCGTGGTATGCAGGCTCTGGCAGCAGTCACCAGATCTAACAATAGAGCAAACATAGCGTTAACCGCAGTCCACGGTTTAACAGAACAAAAATTTTAAGGAAAAGGAATAATTAAACAAGACAGCCGCACACTTTTCACATAAACTTTTGAATGATACACAATCAATTTAGAATAAATGGTACAAGTTCTATAAAAAGAAACCAAAGCATCAAGACCGTTTAACAGCGGGTTAAAAATATCCAGAGCACAAAGTACGGCAAATGTTGGACAACATTTCTTATTTGTAGCCCATTTTCACTGATCTGCTTACCTGGTAAATTATCTGGAACTTTACTGACATTCGAATACAAATTGATCACATTCCGAGCAGCTGTCAAAATCGGCTCTTCCACAGTATTGGCTGCGGGTGGTTGTGTTACATCAGCACCCTGGAAAACATTCCGCATTTACAGGACACATTACATAACATATGTCAACTGTACGTAGTTACGCAAAAACAGAAATCCTTTACCGGGGAAAATGAAAAGACCTAAAAAATCAGTCTACAACGTAATATGCTCACCTCCGTATTTTGAATATTGCACTTCTTCAGATCATACGCCGCAGGAATGGTGAAGATATCTCCGCTGGAGTTGTATGATGCATAGGCACGAGGCAGTTCATTGAAAAATTCATAGACAAATCTGAAAAGAAAAATGTGTAATAAAAGCTGTAAAAAATAAAAGGCTACAACAATTCTATTGTAGCTTCCTACTTGGCTTTATCTGCTGTTGTATTGCCGGAAACGGTATCATTGGATAGGAAGAGAAGGGCCATGTTAGGCACTTCCGAATAAGGCAATTCCCGATTCCAACGCGCCAACGTGCATAGATCAATGTCCTTTGCCTGGGCCGGTGTTGTCACACGCAGCATGCCCGTCTGCAAAATAAATCACAATTTAAATTGGATTCATACGATAATTAGTTGTCGTAGTTTGTCAGCTGCAGTTCCAGCACGCAGTCCTAGTCACAAGATGCACAGGCAAATGCTGCTTGCTTTATGCCGGTGCCGGGTCGGCACTCGGGATAGCAAAATCACTGCACGGTTAATATTATTTTAAAAATCAAAATGTTATTTCAATGTGAGCAAGCGCTTTCAACACGTACACAATACCAATGTCACGCTACAAAGTCAAAAGCAAAGCACCAAAGAAAAACAATTTAGCGACACAAATAAAAGAGATAATTCAGCATAATTCTTATATCTGTATTTACGCAGAAAATGATAAGACAACGACAATAATTAGAATAATGTTCACTATACAGTAGACCACAGAAAATCACGTACTAGAGGATCATACACCTTGCGTCTATTCCACCTTTCCATGTAATCCCCACCATACCCATTGACAACCTAAGGAAAAACTTTACAGACAGCCCAGCACCCAATTATTATCCTACAGGAAAAAACCCATGTGCATGCCTGAAGCACCTGAAAGCGACAACGAAAAAAAAAGCTTCTAGCAATTTATCAATTTATCCAGAAAAATACGGCAAGCAGGGAGCCGAAAAACAAAATATGGACGTGCTAGTCCAAAATACACAAAGCAATTACCACAACGACACTCGGCAGCAATCGATTAATATTTCTACTTAGTTCGGCTGTAATCGTTAATGCAACCGTTACGTTAACCTTCTAATTCCCAAGGGCAAACGAGATCAAACAAATTTTACACTGACTAATAAGACACAGGAAAATTATCAGTTGATCATCGGTAATGAACTGATGATCTGCTGACTGTTTCAGGTGAAAACTATTGATTATTTTTGAAACATTTACAAATAATACTCCGACAATCATGCCAATCGCTGCCGCTCAAACCATGCTAAAAATACTGCTTACCGGTGGCATCGTGGTGGTGAAGTAATCATGATAGCGTTCGCGATAGGGGACATAGCCGTAATACGGACTTCCGCCGTAATATCCACCATAGTACGGGTAACCATATCCACCGTAGCCCCATGGCCGCGACATCATCCGACCCAAGTAGTATCCGCCAATCATGGACATGGCCATATTGGTGCCACTATATCCCTTCCGGTAGGGCGTGTAGCTCGTGTAGACGGGTGTATAGACCACGCGCGTAGCGTACGACTGTGATGCCACCGGAACACGGGCCTGTGCACGGGGATAACTGGGCCGCGCCACACCCGCGGAGGACGACGAGGAAGACACACGGGACATGGTTTTACTGGGAGCACGGTACGTGGTGCCGCTCGCCCACGCCGGACGTGATGAGCCATATTTTCCTGGAATACATTACAATATGCGTTAGTTAACTGAGCACAAATTTTAATAAAATGGCTGCTACTACTGCCATTAATTAAGTCATGTCATCGTACTAATTCGCTAACAGGTAAGTATTGCACTTTTTTGATTACATACTTCAACATATAGGTATATATTGATTATAGGTTTTGATAGGTTTTGATTATATATTTAAAGCATTAATCTTAAATTAATAATTATGAATAATAAAGTAATAAACACAACAGCGCAACATAATTAATGTTTATCGTGTTGAATTTTTGCGTTGTTGTATGTTGTATTTCGTCCCTCTTTTACGCAAACGCGATGGGAAAGCACAAAGAAAATGTCGTTCCGACGTTTTTACACGTGTCAATACGACAAACAATAAGTGTCTACTTCAATAAGCAATTCTTTACACTGTACGTCTTTTTTTCAGTTAACCCTGCGTTTACAAACACTTTGCAAGCCAGTATGTGGAAAAGAGAGTCCCTTTTTGCAATCGGTTTTCCGACAAAACAAGTCCGAGAATGAACAGCGATACCGACACATAATACCGGTATACAGTGACAAATCCGGAGAATATTCGCAGGGTTTCATAACAGCGAATGACGCCAGCAGATTGCGAGTAAAATGCCGACAGGTTGGATTAACAGCATGCCTACGGTAGCGGGTGTAACCTGATCGGCGTAACAACCACCACATAATCCAACAAGTGCTAACACTACGGAGCCCCTCGATCACCTTCTCCGGTTACCTGCCACTTTGTGTTCTGTTCGTGTTCCACTGGCTTATAAATATCCAGCACCGTGTTTGATTAATCCCGCCAACTGGGACCCCGTCCCACTAACAGTATTCCCACTTGACCTTAATTGCTTTCAAACACATGCTGCGCAATAAATAATTAACAAAACATTCCGAAAAAATTTTTAAAAGAACATAATTATTCCATTCTGTTATTTCAACAAATTCACCAACCTAAAATACCGACAACTTTTACAGGTTAAGATAAATTTCACTGCTAAATGAATATTAATTATTAAGTACTGCACCAATTGGCAATAAAATCTTGCTCAAAATGAGTTGTGAGTGCGCTCTGCACTGCGAGAAAAATCATTAAAATATTATTGGTTCGAAATCCTTCCTTCAAATATTCTTCAAAAATATCTAAGCGTAAGAAAAAAACTCCAGGTGAATTAAATTTATTTTCTAAAAATAAATTTCTAAAATAATGCCGCCGATGTTTGTCGTCGTTATGCAACGAAAAACAGCTAAGACTATTAGCAACGACATACATCATAAATAGTAATTTAAAAACATTAAATTTTGTATGCATATTATACGTTTGATCGACTTCGTAGTAGGATCAAGCAAAGCCTACCTGAAGGAGCACTGCTTCCCCACCGCGATGAGCCCGATGACGACGAGGAGGAGGACGATCCCCAGCGACTCGAACCGGAACCGCTGGAACTGCTAGATCCCCACCGCGAACCACCGCTGCTGCTACTGGAGCTGGATCCCCACCCGCCCGAGCCTCGCGATCCGCCCCCGCGGCTGCCCCCTCCACGGCCCCCCACCGCCACCCCGACCGCCCCTGCCGTCGCACGGCCATATCGCCAAACAGCTCAGAATTAGACCTACAACAGGGCGATTAACAGTCACATCATTCTCATTGCATCATGTGCGTCTACAAGTCCACATTCTAAACCCAGAACACGGCCAGGAACAACATATAATTTCTGCCAATATTGATATGCTTTAACGTATGCTGTTTGAAAAAAATCCTAACATTTAATGTGGACGAAGGCGAAGCATTACGGAAGTTACGCAAACGGTATACATATACTAATTTAAACCGTGCCCCACCGGGCGGTTACGTGCAACATTTTTTTAGCGACAAAAAATTATTGGCGAGTACAAAAATATCGTCAACCATTGCGCGCTTTTCAGATTTTTATTTATCGCTAAACATTCTGTGCAGCAGTTTTCTACCTTCGCACTTACAAATGAGAAAGAATGAGGATACGCTCGGTGTACTCCATTTCCACTGACTCGATGGGGGTCGCCGTCGATATAATAACATCATGTTAACAGTTAACCAGTTAAGTTAACTGAGTTAACTTCGAGAACCTGTCAAACAATTCCAGCAAAAATTAAACATCTGGCTTCGGCTGCGTTCTGCAATAGTTGCATGCGACGGAAACAAAATCACTCTGATGCAACATGCAAGTAAATTCTTTATAACGTGCAACATTCAGACTGCATCATCGTGATTGCCTAAAGCTTTTTTGCATAGCTGCTCATTATAATACGAGTAGAAGTACAGAAAGTACGAATAGAACTGTGGTGGCTTGCTTGTCAGCTGCTGATCGGAGCTATCGAAAGACTTCGATACGAAAGGTTTGCACAAAACTACAACTGCACTGTACCTGGACTTGTACAATACAAGTATGTACTACACTACTACTGTACTAGCCAAAGTACAAAGTCAAAAAGGCAGCCGCAGTCGGCGAAAAACGAACATTATTATTAAGTATTATTATGTCGAAAATTATGCCCAACGGAAATTCTGAATGCAACTTAATATAATGCTAAATGCTAATAACAAGACAAAAAACTTGGCACAAAACCAGTTTACCACATCTTTTTATTGGTAAGTAGCAAGTATTAATTTTCTTAGCGTTTTATATTTAACCAGTAAGCAAAAGCGCAGAATGGTGTAATAATTTATTTATATAAATATCAGTAGAAAAGATTAGATATTATCGTGCTTGTACACCATTTCTGCAATCTTTCAAGTGCACACCGCAGTGCATGGATGTGCATTTAAATTATAACAATAATATAGATTGTCATTATTGTTGTACAATAAATCATGCTTCAAGTATTTATTTAAGTATACCCTGTCCAGCGCAGGATATTAATTTTAATAACTGCTCGCACAAAGGTTGATCGGCACAAAATTTTCTTAAAGTTCTCTACTGTGTATACTGTACATCATATTCATATTGTGTAGTTTATATATATATATATATTTATATATATATATATATATATGTTTATATATTTATATAAGTCGTGGGTATTTTAATGTGTTCCAACCTTAAAGCAATCCCAAACGGAAGCGGAAGTCCTTCAGCTGGATAAGCAGGAGGAGATTTGCAGATCGGAATGGATGAACGGACAAAACAGAATGTCAGGATTTAAAACTTTGCAACCGCGATTAAGAAAACAATTACAATACGGTTCACAGTCACTGAAACAATTTTCACACTAAAAAGAACAGAAAGCACCTAATAAAGCCGCACGAATAAAAAAGACCTTTGCGGAAAACTTCTGCATCAAAATTAATATAAACGAACGTCGAACTAGACGGTTTCGACGCAGATATAATCGAACTAGAGAAAGAAACGGACAAGATTTCTCACGATAAGTTGCAGGAAAGACATTGACGTCATTTTAGAACTAGCGCGTATGGTAAATTAGCGGTAGCGGTTCAGTGAAAGGCGGCGAAGCTGTGACAGACAGTGTCATATCATAACTCATTGCGGCTAAAAAACGCTACTTGACTCATACCGATGCAAGTGCTATGCACCAGTGGAAACTGGAACGAATGTAATGCAAAAAGCTTACAGCATCTCGTACCGACGACCGTAATTACTCGTATATTAAGTACGTATGTGACGCAAATCCAACACAGCGGTACAAGTTCAGCTCATAACCCTTTATTCGATAAATTTTGTAGTCATCGTTAACATGCGTAAGCCATTATCCCGTTCGCCGGAAATACCGACAAACAGAAGTCATGCGACTGAACTGAACTCTACAGCCAAAGTCCCTGAAACACATAGACTACACGGAATCACAGATGGGCCATACTGTATATCATTCTCCGAGTTACACTTTTATCTCATCGCTTTATGACGCAGAATCTTTCCTTCGAAAATTTGTGTTCATCGGTTGCATTCTGAAACCAGTGAATATACACGCTTAAGCTTTACATATATGCAGTTCGCACTCAGGATTACAGAATGGGGTTTCCGATCGATCGATTTCCCGGCACAATTTCACACACACGCTAGCCGTGCATGTTTGTATACTTGCCGTATGCAACTATGCATGCCGTAGCGTGCGTGATCCTCTTCGGGTTGTTCATCCCTGAAATGCAATGCGCGCTCGATCTTTCTATGGCACTGATCTCAAGGTGCAGGCAGGAGCCGGGAATTTGCGAGTTGAAGCGAGTCTGCAAACTTTGTTCAGTAAAAACAGCACGGAATGCTCCTTCAGAGTCCAGACACATACTTACTATTCGATTTTTTATTGTTTTTGTGATATTTATAATAATTATGCAGTAGACGGTCTAATATCTATACCGCAAACACTGGAATATTCTACTGCAGTATCAAAGCTTAATTATATACAGTAATCAGACGTATTCGTACAATAATGTATAACTTTACCGTATGCAGTAAATTCTTCCTTGCGCCCACTTAACGAAATTCAAATAGCATTATATCGTATATCCTTCTGTACACAATATGTACAGTAGGTACAGAAAACTGGTGCACTTTATATAGATATTGTATATAAAACAGCCGGGTATGTACAAGAGGACAATTAATATGAGTATCAAGAAAGTTTATTTATAGTCCAGCATGTGCCTGCCCAATCGAATGCTATACATAAAAATTATGAAAAGCGTTTCTATAATAATTATGTGCTCTAATATTAAGCGCGCAAGTAAGTATTGTACTGTATTTTAATAAAAACAACCTTTGCCTTACACGGAGTGGATAGAATCTGCCGGTGCGATCGAAAACACAGGGCACCGCTAATATGTATAGATACTTCAGTACTAGAGTAGTATTTGTTGTGCCCTAACTGCGTTTATTTGCTTCAGATTGTACATGAATTACTTGAGAATTGTTTTCCCGTAAAATGAAACATCCTGTTTTGATGGCACTGCTGCTGCTACTTTTTTTGCTTTTTCTAGTCTTCCATCATTCTATTTACTGCAAAATTATTCAGGGTAAAATTACCAAAATACAAGAAATTAATTCGATATTCTGGACCGGTACTCTCTTTTCCAGAAGTGCGAAACTACATAAAGTGCAAACATAAGTTGCTCTTTGGAACTCTACGCAACGGTTCAATGCCAAAATGACCTTTTTCTTTACCAGAAAGAGTCACCTATACTTCAGAAAGAGAAGTACCAACACGATGAAATTCTGGTTGTCTTATAACTGGAAGAAAACGAATGACCTTTCGCGTAACATCACTATGCAAGTTAGTTTACCTTTTCGCGAAAATGATGGGTAGCCACTACAATTGTGTTTTGGTTTGGTTAAATGGATGGAATATGGCTGTTTATTATCCGCAGCGTGACATTGGAGATGCCTGGAAGCACGAAGACGGTAATTATGGTGATTACGGTTCGAACTTATGCTTTCCCGAACTAAAGTTATTGTTTGTTTGTTTATTCAGCTTGGTACTGGATACAGAGAAATGCTTGATGTCCGTACCTGTATTACGAACATCTGCAAATTTTTTATGCAGTGCATTCATATGAATTCATTTAAAGATTCGAAATGGCGTAAGACATATTGGATATTAGTGGGGCGTATTCATAAAAATTTAATAATGTTAAATGTGAGATGCTTTCGTGGACATATGAGTAATAATAATTATTCATCACGAGAAAATACAAGTGTCACGTACATTTTAATAATTATTATGTATGTTCCTTATGTTCCAATCAACAGGAAATCGAAGAGATGTGCACCTCTAAATATGCACCAGCCATAATTCAGGGTAGTCGACGTGGGTATTTATAGTTTTTATAGTTGCCCAGCTTCGAATTCCTAATTTCGTTCCTCAATTTGCACTAATAAAACGCACACCCTCTTCCTTTACAAAGGCAACAGATCCCTAACATTCCTAAAATGTCAGAATGACTTCATTTCTGATTCACATATCCTTGTGATCCTTTACGTCAGCGGTAGTCTGGGAACTCTCGCGATGTACTCGTACCCGGGATTGTTTACACATCGATTTTCCAAGACTTCGACTCGCCTGAGTCTGACTGCAAAGGAATGATGTTGTTTATACTTTTATATGCATCCAGCACCATATTCACGCGAGCGGTCTCCCAAACTGCAGTTGTGCAGCTTTCCGCGTCATATTTTTTCCAGTAAACACTGAATCAGATATCAGCAACGGTTCATTGTGGACGGTAGCATAAGACCTAAACAACTGCTAAGCACTGTTGAGGTCCACTTTTTTGGAGTCTGATTAATATGTTTTTACGATCTCGTATGGCCGTATAGCTGCTCGTAGTAAACGGCAACAGGCTGTCTTTGTTTTTGTATTACTTATAATCTTTACTTGCCTGTAATAGCTTTGTTCATTCCCCTCTCGAAATATCAGTTTTTGGCTTTAAAACTGTTTTTCATATCTCAATAAGTAAACATCATATCGTGACGTGGTTTCTATAACTAGCATTTTTACTTACTTGCCTTAACTTTGCTGCCCATCATTTTGTTTGTTACCCTTTTTGTAGACTGTTTTGCTTTCTTTCGAACTTTTGGTTTTGGGCCCTTTCTTGTAATTACTGGTGATTTCCTATTACGTACGGTACAATGGATCGCAAATCTACCGGACACCACGACCAGCACGATAATCCGCCTTCTTACAAAGAAGCAGTTTATTACACTCAAAATCTCGACATCAGCATCCCCATCCAACCTGGAGGAGGTGCATCGACTTCCTCCGCATTACCCCGCCATTCGACATCCCAAGTCCATGTACGCATCGAACCACAGCCCACCGCCAGCACCACTGAACGGAGCGGTAGCGGGCCAGGCATGTGCTGTGTACGCTTTGGTATCGTCCTCGCCATCATCGTGGGTATTGGATTGTGCATGTGGGAAGCGGCGTATCAGCGCAGTGTGTTGAGTTTGGGGTCACATGCCAGCTGGCAGGAAAAGAAACAGTTTGGTCTGCGGGCGACATTCGGTGGAATTCTTTTGGGATTTGGATTGCTCGTCTACTTGGCGGATGCGTTTACCAATGAAGTATGGAAACTTGTCATCTTACCGTCAAATCAGTTGGAAGAGCACCTGCAAACGATTCGGCGCGGTAACTGAATTTTTGTGTACCGTATGACTTACACAACAGAATGAGCGACGAATGTACTGGCTTTGGTACGAGTACGCGACGAATGTACACTGAACGCATATCCATTCATATGCGGAGCGCTATCGACTTGTGGGTACTTGTATACATTTTTACGAAGTCCACTGTAGAACGTACCTAAATCGGTGCCTTGTACCAAACTTGCCGTGGTCACTCGCGTACAAACGCCAGCGCTTATTGCGTTCCCCAACCGGCTACAATCGCAAAACCGATTTAAAATTTTTCGTGTCCAATGTAAATCCGTTGGACATATTACAGTAACTATCAATATTAGACAATCGTTTTAACGTGCAATTTTCTCCTCAGTGCGACCAAGAGTTACATGGTATATGAAGTGTTTCCACTACGACAACGGCACGACGGTGATAACCAATCCCGATGGATCCATGCGAACCGAACGACGCAACGATCAAATCACCACCTGGTCCGGCACGGAGGAGTTTCGTTTTCACACGTTTACGGATGCCTCGCCCGAACTGGGCAACATGGGTGGTGTGGTGAATATTCTCTTTGACAAGAAGTTTATGTTAGCGGATGCCGACACGCGAAGGTCCTTCGAAGCGCAGAAAGAGGCGTTTATCAGCGCTAACCGAACGCGGGATCAGGAATTCAGTGTGGACGAGATATTCGAGGTCGATGGTTTCATCAGCAATATGACGACTGCGCCGGGCTGTTGCATTACCAATCCGTGCATTTATCTGATCACCGTCTTTACGTTTCTGCTGTATCCGTGGATGTGCATTGTTGCCCTCAGCGAAGAGAATGTCAACTATACCCATGTGTATAAGCTGTCTGTATAATGTAATAATTCTCGCTGAAAAATAACTTTAAAAGTGTCATATATTTTTCTAAAGTACAACTTGCCATGCATTACGCACTAATTTGAAATGATCAAATTAAAGCGCCATGTCTATTAACAGCGCCTTTCTGCTACAAGTTTTTATTGTTTACTATACGTTATTGGGCATCAAGCGCTCTCAAGTTCGGTTTATAACACAGTGCAAATTTTTAACAACAAAGTGGCAGCTCAGAATTGTAAGGATTTGGAAAACGGAAACTGCGAAAAGCTTACTAGATTTAGCATCTTGGCTGTGCTAATTTACAGTCGGCCTGTGTTTTCAAGTTGGCAGTTTTAAAACACGTCCCGATCAGTATTCATTATGAATTACAGCCATGTTAAACAGATCGTTAAATAAGTTATTAGGGCACTCAGTATGGTAGTCAAACATTTGAATGCCTGGAATGTGGACTGACAGGTGGCGACAGGGAATACCGTTGACCCATAGAAGAACTTAGCCTGCGTATTATGGACATTGGAGTCGCAGTGTACGTGATCTCTCTTATAGCAGCATCTGTAGTCGAGAGAGATCTTGACCTGTCATTCGGTTTTGTCGGTGAAGGACTTGAAGTCAGACCGTAAAGATCGTCGGCAGTGGAAGGGGGCGAATCCGGGGAAGCCCGATCGCTTTCGGGAATAACCTCAACCATTTCTCGCGAATCTCGGTCATCCATTTCTTTCAGAGTATTGCGGCACAGATGTTCTATTACGCTGGCACCAATCACGTCGCCGAGAATGTTGACTACGGTTCGAAAGCGATCCCTGCAAACGGAAAAAAAGTTATTGAAATATTTTGACTAATGTTTTCGGTATAGATCGTCCTCACAACAACCAGTCGACCGCCAGAATAATTCCAATGAACTCGGCGGGAAGCCCAACGGCGTCCAACACCATGACCTTTATCGCAATGTAGTTGTTATATTAGAGACATATTTCAACAGCGTAATGCTAATATTTGTTCAGAATATACCAACGTGACAAGTCCGGCTTCAGGTATTCCCGCTGCACCGACTGCCGCTGCGGTAGCCGTAACACTAAATTCAACAATATTTGATTAAACCTAATTTCTGTGTTGCGGCCGAAAATGTTTTGCATGCTTAGCCATTATGACGAAAAGTCAGTGTTTACCTTACGGCGACAATTTTGCCGAAATCCATTGGAACATTTTCTGTCTGTGCTATAAAAAGGGCCGCAACGGCTTCATAGAGAGCTGTTCCATCCAGGTTGATAGCAGTGGCTGCATACGAAGATTAAAGGTATTCATGTTGCATAAAAGAGGAAGAAAATATAGCTCCTTAATTTCTCACCAATAGGTAGCGTAAATCGGCATATCCTAAAAATAAATTATAACCATTTAAACTAAAGCTTGTTAGGGAATCTGTACGTACCAATTTGAGCAGATAACCAACTGCATAAAGAGAAAGTAGTTTTGTTTTGCTTATTTGTCCTTCCAAGTACTTACCTATAAAATTAAGTTTTGAACGAATACCCGAAGCGCACCTGGGATCGACTTTGTTATTCTCTTCGCAGCAGTTGATTGTAATGGGTAAGGTTGCCGCGCTAGACGCCGTGCCGAAACCGGTAGCATAAGCCCTCGCTCCACCATGAATTATTCGGTATGGATTTTTGCGAGTGAAGACAAAGCAAATAAGCGGCAGGACCAGAAAGGCGTGAATACCCAGTCCAGACTACAAACGCACCACAGGGTACGATCCGATTGGCAGAACATGATACAATAATAAACTTGCGATTGAAATAATCAAAAGACTGGAGGTAAGGTCATCTTTCATGCAACGCACCAAAACGGTCACCATGTACATTCCCAGCTGCAAACATTACAAAATGAGCTTAAAAAATCAATGTTATTGCAATTAAATTAAGCGGATTACCTGTGCGAACATACTAGCAAAGTCTTTCACTTTTAGAAGCTGTCCAGCAACCAGAAAGCACACGCCAATCGGAGCCAACCTAAAAAATACAGGCACTGGCATAAATACTGAAGCAAATCGTTGCTCACTTCCAGCCGAAAAGCAGTGAAAACGTTGTTTAGGTCATCGCATTCTCGCTGGTTTCAAAACAAGGCTACGCTTCCTTAAAAAAGTAATCAATTTATTTTGATGTTCAATGAGTCAATCAACGTAATACATAGTTCCAGGATTGCTCATACGGCGCGCATACCACATGATCCAGTCGACGATCTGCATGACAACTTGATTCAAAGACCTGAAAAAATCTCCTAAGGGCTTTCCATGTTCCTTGAGACGGCTTATTGCCACTCCTGAAATTTACTCATTGTGATCACTGAAACACCTGACCCAGCAAAAAAGTCGTAGCTCACGTCACTGTCAGTATCACTCATCTCACCGTATTAATTTTAGTCTGATACGCTATTTTCTGCATTTGTGTTATCCTATAGAGTATCGGTTGCGGCAACTTCTGAATAACTGGTAAGTATCACGTACCACAAACGAGACTGAACACAACTATGCCAAGAATATTGGTTCCATCCACAACCTTCCTGGTCATAATCCAGTCGCTGTAGTCTGCCAAGGAATGCAACGAGACTGATTAAAATGGGTTTACGATCTGCGGATATTGAAGGCAGGCATTTCGCAGTTGTTCTACATCATATCATATCGTGGAAAGCATTGTCAATACAGTACTGTTTTATATTCTTTTCAGTCATAAGAACCCAAATTTCCTAGCAATTACCGTGAATAACAAAGTGGCCTTGGGGTGTGAGGAGGTGAGTGGTGTTGCTATTGTTGGCCATGATGATAAAAGTGGTAGTCATCGGCGTTGTCGTTGTGGTTGTGCTCAGTGTCGTGTTGCCGGTGGAATTGGTGACAACGGCTACTACTTTGTTGGGTGGTGGCATTAGCTGTGTTTGGTACTACAGCACACTTTCACAGTTTAGGCAATACCGCAATAATCACTATCATTGCATGACAGAATACTGTATCACATACTTGCGCTACGCAAGCCTGCACGATATTTGGCGGGAACATATTCCTGATCAAATCCATTATAGTATCGGCCGTCATAGCCACTCGTCCCGTGCCGCCAGACGGCTTTTCACCCGCCAAATCCGGGGTCCCGTAGTACCCGGGTCGTATGGCCGAGACCATGCCGATCCCGACGCAGACCGCGATAAAAACCGTTGTCAAGTAAAAGACCACCGAACGAAAACCAATCTGACCGCTAGCCGCGCTCTCCATATTGGACAGGCCGCTGATTATGGCGGAGGCCATCAAGGGGATAATGATGCATTTCAGCATGCTGAGGAAGAGCTCGCCCAGGAACGCCACATACGCGACTTTCCGTGCGCTCTGATGGATGCCCGCGGCACGCAGCCCAAACGCCAAAGCTAACAATAGAACGACTTTTCAATTAGCTTAACACTTTCGAAGCAATTTTAATAACACGACCCATTCTTTTCCAGTAATGACTGTCATTTACGATCTTTATCAAAATAACGCCTTATGGCAAAGACTAACGGCTTAGTTCGTGCGTCTTATGATAATGTTTTCTTATCATCCCGTTTGTCTGCATCAAGACAATTCCAAGAATTACAGTTTTACTATCGTATAACAGCTCAGTCCAATTATATTTCGCATCAGGTGGTACATACGGTAACACAATTTTACTCGCTCAAACTAGATCATATTACATAAAACTGCAAATACGTACTTATTTGTATACACCGCGTACTTAAGTATCTGTATATTTGAAACACTATCTAAATATGCAGCACTAATATTCCTATGTCATTTATAAAATTTGGTTATTTTACCATTTTGGAACTAATTCTATTGTGTTTTAAGGTTTAAGCAGCACATTTTAAAAGTACGAGTAAAAGCTAGAATTTTATCTATTGTCCAGTAAAAAAACTTGACTATATTTTTTGCCTCAACTTAATTGTTAATTTAAATCCTGGGAAGCTAAACAAATGCTACAACGGCACAAACACATGTACGCGTACTTACCGACTCCAATGCATATTCCTGCAATTAGAAGGATGAGCCGGAGATTTTCCAGTAGTACAGCCAAGCACCTGCGCTTAGGAGAGAGTTTTGCACTAGATTTGCTGTTTACGCTAGCAGGCATAGTTTTTCCTTTCGAACAAAATTTTATTGAGTAATACTCAAGTTTCAACCACAAAATTTCCGATCGACTGAGCACCACTGCTTGAAGCGAACGTGATCATTTCATAACTGAGAGAAAATGTGGAAAACTTGCTGAGTGAATCATGTGGAAAAAAACTATGTATTATTATACGGTACCTGTGTACGCCGGCACAGCCACAGGTGCTTGTAGTACGAGTACAATATTGACGTTGTTTATTCGCGCTCCATGCTGTGTTGATCACGCAGTGCCATTTTTTTCTTGCTGCGAATGCAGTAGCTGTAATCCTTGAAGTGTAATATTTTTTTTATTTGAATAAGTACGACGCTTTCGTAGCAGCGCTTGCGTATTTGCCATATCAACGTAAATTTTACTGTTTTTCATGCCGACACATACTACAACGATTGCCTTATTTTAATGACAGCTTTATGTACTTGTACGGTTGCACCGTCAATTATCACGATACAACGGTAAATTCGAATCAAAGTGTATCGTTTAGGGTAGTCTACATGGCTTTAAATGCAGTTTTCTCAAAACTAAGAGGAAACAGACTGGCAGATGGTGTAAATACTTCTGAACCTCGTTTCGAAACTCTTTTTTACCATAATAAAAATGCAGCAGCATTGCCTGCATTGCTCATTTACTAGGGATGTGTCATTGTCCATCCAGATATACGCAATAAAGCTTGTTTATAGACTGTTGTTGCTCATAATTGCCGGAACCGTGTGTTCGACATGGACTCATAGTCACACAATAGGATAGTTGTTTTGCTTACTCAACTACGCCATTCATTTCCTGTGCGTTAACGCTTTTAATGGTAACACGAGTTCAAGTGCCGTTTTGATTTTTGGCTGCTTCAAGAAACGTTAAATCATTGTACTTTGTACACTTGAATAGTAGTTTTGGAAATGTGCTGAAATTTGAAAGATACAAGTTATATGTCAGAAGTTACAGTAGAATTATTAGCAGCAAGTAGCTTTGAGTTATCGCAAATCGCAATGACTGTGGCAGTATGAGCAGTGCGCCGCGGAACACAATCACATACCCAGAGTAGTTAGGAATCGGCTTTAATTACTGTAGTATTAATCCGCCAATCATGACGATATATCACAACAGCTGCGTAAAATAACGCAAAACAGGATCGTACGTACTTGGCGCTTAATGGAAGTGCACGCTTCTAGCAAGTTGGAACGGTTCAAAATTAAATAGATCCTATTAACTTGTGACCCGGACCTGCCCTTTCTGAGATATTTTGCAGTTGTCTTTAGGGTTATTTAATAACTTACGCTGATGTCACTGGTACTGATATTATGCATTGCTGACGCCACTTCTTGCCTGGATCTTGCGTTTACTGACATTCTTTGATTGTCATTGCCAACAATTGTAATGATTTTTGTCTGTATCTGGTTTGTACAGTCATCTTGCTCATGGCTCTGGGAATGTTGCAACCTAGCTCCTCCGATCCGTAATGTCTTTTCTGTTTTGTTCAAAAACTTGAGATTTCAGTGATACTTATAGCATATGCTAGCATATATATGTATTTTTAATTTTTTATCTGCAGAAACCGTCAAACTGACGTGTTGAGTCTCTTTTAGCTGTGTGGCCTTTGTGTATGCTTTGTAGCGTTTGATACTGAATTGCGGCGACTCTTCGCCGCTCGCCATCAGTTATGGAAACTGCCAAGTGTCAACTTTGTTTAAGCAAGCACAAAGGTCACGCAAGTTGTTACAACCCGGCGCCTCTAGTAACCAACGGATCCGCTAAAAGATGCAGAATTAATAACCAAAGGTAAGAACGCAAAAAAAGCTTACTGCTAAGCTAAGCACGTTCGATATCCAGCGCGCGTATTGTTTCGAAGACGCGACGCATTTACTAGAACGAGCTGGTGGGAGTGTTTTGCATCTAAGTTTATGTTATGTTTTAACAACTAAGAGGGTTTTGCTCTCGTGCTATATGGCAACAATATAACATTTAATGAACCCTGTCGCTGAAACGGCGATAAGCACTTCTTTGGCGCAACTAAGACGGAAGCATGTGGGTAGGTACGAGTGCTCCCGTTTTAACGTGATTTTTGTAGAATTGTTGTCATCACGTAACTCTTAGCGGATTAAAAAAGCATGGACGCGTGGGTCTGGTCACCCGGTGGTGCAGTACGACCAGGGTGAGTTGATTTTCCTTAATTCATAACTGCAGTTAACTGGTTCTGTAAAAGCCCTTCAGTAGTGGTTCAGAGTTCAGACGTACCTATCTGTCTTCTACCAAGTGAGTAATTATGACCCGCACCAAATATGGGTATATTGAATTTTCAGAAACCTGCCACTTTTCGTGAGTAGTCATTGTAGAACGATACAAGTAAGACTTTATGCACATTCGATCGTATCCAGCCACTACGTTCATTACATTAATGTGTCAATTTCCCGTTCCACCTGTTGAGTCACTCGGTCTTAGATTGTTCTACTCGTATGCATATAATGAAATGTCTCCTCGACACACAACGCTAGTGTTAGGTCGCCGTAATCACACCGAAACAGAATTTGATCAGCATCTATACGAGTACTTCGTGATTTTGCATTGTGTGAGGTACATATGGTTGTGTGTTAAACACAGTATAATATTATTGTATAGTAGTTGCTGGAATTGTTTAGGGAAAGAGTTGTAGAATAGTAGAAGGAAGTTTTGAATGGTAATTTGTTAGTCCTAGCAGAGCACAATAATTGCCACACAAGACGGCCATTCAGCAAAAATGGCAGCGGATACAGATAAGCCTTGTGGGACAACGGAAACAGTTCCAGTAATCATGCTGACTGGCTTACCCCAGGATAATGAAGCAGCAGAAACTACATTCTTTAAAGCCCTCGCTACCAGGTATGATAGCTAATTTCAGTGGCTTCCTTTCGTGCAAATCTTGTTTAATTAACGAGTTGCGTGGTAGATCATCAGTTCATTAAATTGTGAATGTTGACAGTCAGTACGCGGAGAGGTGTCTGTTTCGCGCTGCGCATGCCAGTAATTATATACCTACAAGTACCTCCCTGCTTTCATACTTCGCAAAATTGGTGTGCCACCGCGATTTCAGCACCTGCAATTTCTATGTGGCCGAACATGTGCTCTTATTGAACAGGGCGACGAAGACTTGGATGTGGGCAATTTGGGGATTGTTTTCTTATTTATTGGACACGGCAAGTGACTGGTTGGTAACTACTCATGATCACGATCTATGTACCTGTTGATGCTGTGGAGAGTAAATTTGCTTATATAGACAGAATGCCGCGGTTTCCAAAAATTCAACTTTCAGGTATCTCGTCATTGCCTATTTCTCAATGCAAAAAATTGTGTGGGGATGTCTGACGTTGGCATTTATCGTGGTGCCACAAGTGATTATTGCAGCCGTTGGTATTTTATCGATTCAGCTCATTGACCTTATAAACACCGCTCACAAATACGACGTTGAGAAAGTACGTAGCCTTTCCTTTTCTTTGTTGCAAAAATATCATTGCAAGGGTATCCTGCCAAAAAGTCGTACCATAATTTGTGGGGAAGAAAGCTAATAACATTCTTGTGGCTGTTATTTCAGTTGTTGAAATTGTGTTTCACTGTCCAGTGTCGCCCCATAAGCAAAGCCGCTGGCAATAAATCAATATTACAATACTTTACTTTAGGCAGGAGTTGAAACAACGAAACCTCCGAAGAAGCAGTCTCAAAGTAATGTATCCGTTAAATAATATTAATAAATGTTCTTGTATAGGTACACTACTGTATAAGTTATAAGTACTCTCTAAATTGTATGCGCTTGTAGAGTATTCCAGTTACAATATCCAGTGTACACAAGTACATATTATTCAGAGAGTTAGCGACCTAGTAAAACCAAGACACGCCTGTTTTGATTCCATGCGTTGTTGGATATACGGCCATATACAGTACCCTGCTTTTTTTGTGTAGGACCCGGTATTTTGTTCTATGTCATCTATTTTATACTGCACATTCTTCAGTTTGGTCCAGTTTTTCGGTAAGTGACATAACCAGGATTATTGTTAGATTGAACGTGTCGAGTCTTGCTCTATCCTAAGTTTAGGTTTTTACCAAATCTCTGCAAACTGTTGTAACTGTTTTTTAAGATATGTGAGCTATTTTAAATTCCACATCAGCCTCGCCACCACCGACATCTATAGCTATGATGCTCTGATTTGGGTATTTGTCAATGCCGTTACCGCTAGAATGCGCTTCCTGGAATCCTGCCTCGAAGCCATGCCGCAGCTGCTTTTGCAGATGTACATTCTGATCACAGTGACCTTAATGAGCACCCCATTCACCTGGACGTCCCTGCAAGGCATGCAAGTCATCTCCATGAGTGTCTCACTCCTCTCAGGAGCTGCAGGCGTGGCACTAGTTCACGACGATGTAGTGATACGAGAAGGTCGTTGCAGTAACGTCAACGGATGTATCCCATCTTATGAAACAGTATTTCGCCTAGTGCACTTTGTCGGGCGACTATTCATTCTAACCGCACGCTGCGCGGTTCTCGCAGCAACCTTCAGCTGGTCGACAGTGACAGGTTTCATAGTCTGTGTATGGCATGTGCTCTTAATGGCTGTGTGTGTGTATTTCTTCAACCTGGGAAGCAACAGCGCTTCCCGCCTCTTTGATTTACACGACCTCCCTAACCGACCAATTCCACGTGTCTTGCGACACACATACCGATTCGTGTTATTGCCGTTCTCGTACCTATTTGACTATGTCGACGAAATGGATAAGAACGAAGCAGACCCAAAACGGAGTTCTTTTCCTGTTGTTTATTACTTTGTGCATGGGGTGGAGAACATTGTATTATCGACCATTTGGGCGAAAGTTGTGGGAAATTTTGACAGTTTCAGCTGCCTGGTGACCGTTGCAGTGCTGATGTTGTCGGCCAGCGGCATATGTGCTGTGCGAATCTACTTCTACTTTTGCCGTGCAGTGAGTTATCTCACAATAGTGATGCATTCTCCGTAGCAAACATTTTATTCTTACAGTTTATGTTTGTGTATTCACTGTTCAAAAACTCACTAAATTTTTGCCCTCCCAAAACATAATTCTAAAATTACCGCTCTATTTACGAACTTGATAAACTTTGCATACTGCTGTTGAGCGCACGTTCCTACCGCTTTTCTGTTATTCTGTAATAGAGTAATCACTGAGGCTAGTACATACTATACTAAGTATAGTATGTACTAGCCTCAGTCCTATGGTCGACGAACTTTTTCGGTTTATCGTAAAGCCCAAACAACAGCCAAGCCTTCCACCGTAGCAATCCCAATAAAAAATAGATACGTATAACAATCCCTGATACTGATAGTGTCTTTCGAGCGTATATCCTCTGGTTGTTGGGCCAGCGGGTACGGTTGTCTTTGCGCCAAGTTCTTGTTTCCATCATTCGCGGAACATCTGCAACTCCAAGTTACGCTCGTCCTGCGTTAAACTGCCCGGAATCGGTGGCGAAACCGATATCGAAGGCGTGTCGGCACCACTCATCCCGTATACCTGGTTTATATTTCCCAAGTTTTCCTCGGGAGTAGACACGGTGTGTTGTACCCTTCGATGACGCTCGTCGGCTTCATCATCATCATCCATTGTTGTCAAAATATCCTTGCATAGGTGCTCAATAACGCTGGCGGCAATCACGTCACCCAGAATATTGACAACCGTGCGAAAGCGGTCCCTATTCGTAGGAGAAGAACTATCACCATATTACTATAATTTCTCGTTTTTCCAAAAAACTATGGCGAATATCGTAATCTTACAGCAACCAGTCGACGGCCAGAATCGTCAAAATAAACTCAGCCGGAAGCCCAACTGCATCCAGTACCATAACCTTTAAAAATCATTTTTGCGTTGTTCATCAGGCTTAAGCATAAAAGGTTTGCGAAGGGTTTCGTACCAATGTGACAAGACCCGCCTCAGGAATCCCTTGTGCACCCACTGCCGCGGCAGTAGCCGTAACACTAGTAACACATAGCATAACGTGACCTTTAATTTTTAATTTAATTATTACAAGTACCGGTACTATACAGAACCGTCGCGTCGCGTGTACTAGTACGAACCTAACAGCAACAATTTTTCCAAAGTCCATTGTGATGTTTTCGGTTTGCGCAATGAAAATGGCTGCCACTGCTTCGTATAATGCTGTACCGTCCAAGTTTATTGCAGTAGCTACATTAAAAAAAATGTTTATCAGCTCACGTAACCAACCCTGTGTCAGCATGCTCTTGTATCATCAGTTGTATGTACAGACCGAATTTTTGCCTTACCGATTGGTAACGTGAATCGGCATATTCTGTAAATCACGAAGGTTACGGCACTTATGAGGCGCTTTGCCGTAGAAACGTGGCAAATACTGATGGCTTAAGTGCACAATTTGCGAATAATCTTAATGCTAACAGCTGCCTGAAAATACTAACCTGGGATCAACGTTGTTATTTCCCTCGCAACACTTTATTGTTACAGGTAAGGTAACCGCGCTGGAAGCCGTACCGAAGCCGGTGGCGTATGCTCGCGATCCTCCATGTATGATTCGATAAGGATTTTTACGCGTTATCACAAAGCAGATCAGAGGTAATACAAGGAATGCGTGAATACTTAATCCAGACTACACCAAGCAAAGCATATCAGGATGTGCAGTGGTATAGTTGTACTCATATACTTTTGCTTTTAATCAGTTTTTACCGATTCGGGTCCTTAGAAAAACCAAAGATTAAAAAAATATCACCCAAAACGCGTCACTTACCACTACAGTCACCATGTACATCCCCAACTGTAAAACCAAGGCTTGGTTAGCGCATTTTATTAACCTATCACGACGCGGTGATACCAAAATTTATGGTTGTATTGGTACCTGCGCAAACACGACAGAAAAGTTTTTGACTTTTAGCAACTGTCCAGCTACCAGAAAACAAATCCCAATAGGAGCCAACCTTTGAATTAGAAAGCAATTCAGTCGAGTTTTGTACCCGTTGAGAGAACCGAATCGTGTTCGTAACCGATTAAAATGGTCACCAAAGCGGGAAATTATCGTACCACATAATCCAGTCGACAATACGCATGATCACTTTGTTCAACGAACGGAAGAAGTCTGCAAAAGCTTTCCCGTCTAACTCCATTCGAGTTATAGCGACCCCTATCCATAAGTTAAACATAAGCTCATTATCAAAATTAAAGAATAACAGCAAAAAGGAGTACTCGTACCGCAAACCAAACTGAAGACAACAATGCCCAGGATATTGGTCCCATCTACGGCCTTTCTTGATATTATCCAGTCGCTGTAATCTGTCACAAAAGCAGCCTGTCACGATAGTCCGGAATAACAAGTACGTGTGCGCATAGCATTTCCTCCTCTATTCGCATTACGAATTATCTTTGTGTTTTTTAGCACGACCTTTACAGGCTCGCTGCAGTACCTTGGATAACAAAGTGGTGGGTGGAGTTCCCGTTTGTAGCGTTGCTGTCGTTCAACATAATGATAAAAGTGGAGGTTGTCGATACCGTAGTGCTGGTTGTGGTGGCGCTTGTGCTGGTGACATTACTGACGACAGCGACTACTTTATTGGGCGGTGGGTGAAGTTGCGTCTGGTACTGCAATTTACAGTATATTACGCACGTACGCAAGCGTTAACTGGCATACGAAAATACAGTGCTTTTTCGTCATACGTAGCGTGGCAATATGTACCTCGTTATAGCGTTACCGGATTGGTTGTTGATTATTCGGCTTACCTGTGCGACACAAGCTTGTATGATGTTAGGCGGGAACATATTCCTGACCAAATCCATAATCGTATCGGCGGTCATGGTGACCCGTCCCGTTCCAGGCGCCGGTTTTTGGGCCAGTGTAGCGTTTTCCCCGCCTCCGATGTTGAAATGACCGGGTCTTATGAACGTCACCAGGCCGATGCCGACACATACAGCCAGAAAGACAGTAACCAAGTAGAAGAGGACAGAGCGCAGTCCGATCTGGCCACTGACGGTGCACTGTATGTTGGACATGCCGCTGATGATGGACGAGATCATCAGAGGGATAATGACACATTTCAGCATGCTCAGGAAGAGCTCGCCGGGAAACAGCACGTACGAGACTTTGCGGGGGCTTTCGTGAATACCCAGGGACCGCAACCCGAAAGCCAATCCTGTCAATCGGTAAAAGCATATTGTATCAGCCTAGTCGCTAATGCACAAAACAATAGGCTGATCTAACGCATAAACCAGTACTCAGTAGGCGTCTAATCGCGACTGTTATTAATAATTTTTACTGTATACAACATTGAACAACCTTGAACTGCTTGGACTGTGGAGTAGTTTTGAAAGCAACTACAGGACCATCGTATTATATAATAACAGCTACATGTATAATACGGATTATTACTGCTAGCAAAGGTTAACCGACACAAACGCGTTCTAGTCTGCCGCGCGTTACCCTGTGAGCTGCCTATATGACATCAGATTTTGCTACAATACAATGTCATGCAAATGGTGTTAGCAACTGGAGAGTAATTCGGTTTATATGTTGTGAAACCGTATATATAAATAAGGCGCCACTGCTTTTCTATAATGCAGAACTGGGAGCTCTTATAACATATAACTAGAAAAACGCTTATTTTTGTCTGGCACCTGGTATTTTCTACCTGTAGCTTCAGTTACTGAATTTAAGGTTCAGCGTCGCCTCGGAATTTCACTTTGAGATAAAGACAGCGACAAGATAGTACCACATGGTTTTCGCTTTCAGATTTTGAAAAAGCCTAAAAAAGGTCAAGGTTCTCACGGCTACTGTTACTGGTTGCACTTTTGTTGGGCGTTGATTTAACCGAAAAAAACGACTGTCAACCATTTCTATAAATCCTCGAAAAAATCAGAAAGTTTTAATCGGAGAAAAAGGAAATTTCGTCGAATTTTGTGTATTACAAATATAAAAAACTTGTCATTGTTGTAGGGACTTCCTGCATTCTTACCAACTCCGCAACATATTCCGCCAATAAGGAGGATGAGTCTCAGATTCCGTGCTAATGCGAGCACACATTTTTGGGCACGTGTCCTTTTCACGCGATGTGTACACTCAGTACACTCATCACGCCGCACATCACACTCATTGCACTCACATTCGCTACATCGAACTGTATTGAACATTATTATTCTTTATATTGAACAATGATATCAATATCAAGTAATAACTGCTATAATGCGCTTTTGCTTGCCGGTATATAATTTAAAACGCTTTAGTTATGGAAACGTGACTATAAAAAATGGTAAGGAAAGTGCCAGGACGTTGGTGTTTGACTGACAATGAGTCAAGCAAAACCTGATTTACAATGATTCCGCGCAGATATACCAAGATATTTATCATTTTGTTTTTTTAATAATCACAGACGTCAGTCGCTGCCGGGGGGCTATCCTTACATTATAGCACTTTACAGACGGTTTTGCTGGAAAAATTTGCCGTACCGGGGGTGTGTTTCAATGCACCAGTGGCGAGTTAGTAAAATGAGCCCGCCTTCTTGTCGACTTTGTACTGCAAAATAAGAAACGTATTGTACTTGTTTAGAAAATACATATTCTTGCTTAACAGCTGTCGGTGACGATTCTATGCTCGTTGCCCGTATGAATGAAGACATTAAAATTAATATGTACGATATAATAATATACAAAGATATTATGTTGTACTGGCGGTTGGTGCTTGCAGACTTGCAGATGCCCGTGTGTGTATGATTTTCTATGTATAAATACAGGTACATGCCTACAAATTAATGTATCATCTGATTGGGAGGCATATCGATATTAAATTTTACTAGTACTTACGGTATTTGTGCGGACGCGTGTTAGATGAGGATTATGGCTAGGAATAAAAATCGTACGTCGTTGTTTCCGCCTTTTTTGCATATTTCGTTTTTCTCAAATTTGTCAGGTTTGGGACAATACCCGTACTATATCTATATCTATAGATGTATGAGTGAGCACAATATGAACCGCGCTGTCTCAAGCAACCTTCCTCAAAGTACGTACGTACAGAGTATTGAACGGCGACAGTCTGTGTCAGCCTTTTCTACCATTGTAAGATTCACCAAAGATTTCATCAGCCCAACAATATCCTCGGGTTATTTTGAGTCTTTAATGTCGGGACCATTAATTCCAGCACTGCAGCTTTATTTCAGTCACGTTTATCAAACTAAGCGCTTTATTTTTGTGATTCATCGGTGAGCGTAAAGTTTCTAATATGAAATCAACTTTTGTAGCAACGTCATCGTACATAGCTTGCGGAACCCAAAAAACATGCGCAATATGTCGAATGCCGCTATTCTGCCAATTTCCGGTACAAAACCCGGCACTTCACCGGTTCCGGTACGTCAAGATGAATAATTACTATTTCCGGTCAGCAAATTAAATGTTTTTTGTGATCGTACACTTATGGCGAATGACACTGGAGCGGCCGGATCCGGATCTCGCCTATGGTGATTAGTGAAACAATGTGCGCCGGAAATGGTAATGGATATTATCACACTTTACAATTCGCATCACTTTAATATTACGACTGATTTCAACCGAAGTCAACTAAAAAGTAGTGCAATTATAATGTGTTTGTGCCCCACTCATTGCAGAAATCATGAGTGCTCTACAATACTGGTATAGGCTCTAGAACGCCTTTTATTTCACCGGTATTATGAATTTTGTACAAGACACAGATTAGTCGAAAGAATTATGGCAAGGGGATACATTAAAATTTTGTGTTTGTTAATCTGTGTGCGCAATGTACTCGTACGAATAGACCAAGCGGCAAAGCCGAATTATGTATCTGTAGAGTAAGCGATAGCATATCTGTATTTGCAATTCGGGACGATAAAATACAGTAATTTGCTATGAAACTTATAGTTACGATTACACTTTCATGTTTATGAATACCAGAAAAATTGACCAGTGGTCAAATCGCAAATGGCACTGGTTTCGACATTATTACCGTAATGCAAAACCTATGTTATCACTTTTGGCCTAAAATTCCTGATTACTATCGTAGCTTTATTTTTTGCAGGTGGCACGAACAGCGATCTCAGATATTACATATCTTTTGTTTTTTGTGCATCTGTACTGGTGATTGGGATGAATAGCAGTTACAGTAATGCAGTTTTTCTTCGCTAACTAAATGTCCCTATAAATACTGGCCGAACGGAAAACAATCGAAGGCGTTATGACCGCACTGCGTTGCAGTATTAAACGATATTCAAGGTTTACCAAATACTATACGGATGCGTTTTGTTTTATTGTATCTTGTCAGAAATCAAACATTTTTTAGCTTTATGGCAGTACCTCGGCATCGTTACGCATTTGTGCATTATTTTTTCATTCCGTCTGGCGTCGTAACGCATTGCATGGATTTGGGCGCTGTTATGAAGTATAAACAAAAGGCCAAAGGACATTTTTCAAGATGACAGAAAGTGTCCCAATCATATATGGGCGACGAGGTTAACACGACTGGATCTGTGTCTGGACTGAGGAGCCTCACCATGGTCAGCTGCGGTTTCGAGCGTATATCCTCTTGTTGTGGAGCGGGCGGATACGGCTGTCTTTGCGCCAAGTTCTTGTTTCCATCGTTCGCGGAACATCTGCAACTCCAAGTTACGCTCGTCCTGCGTTAAACTGCCCGGAATCGGTGGCGAAATCGATAGCGAAGGCGTGTCGGCACCACTCATCCCGTATACCTGGTTGATATTTCCCAAGTTTTCCTCGGGAGTAGACACGATGTGTTGTACCCTTCGATGACGCTCGTCGGCTTCATCATCATCATCCATTGTTGTCAAAACATCCTTGCATAGGTGCTCAATAACGCTGGCGGCAATCACGTCACCCAGAATATTGACAACCGTGCGAAAGCGGTCCCTGTTAAAAAGTTAAGATGTAGTGTACGTATCTAATGTTAATATACCTGACTCTAGAGAGTCTGTTGAGTCTCTAGAGAATCTGTTGATCCTAGAGAGCATGTCAGTGATGTCACCATCATGAAACCATGAAAGCTTGTATGCATTAAGTAGTGACGACAAAATAACATGATCGTAGCCTGTAAATCTGTAATCTATTTAAACTTGAATTCAGCTTACAACAACCAATCGACAGCTAGGATATCCAAAATAAGATTTGCCGGAAGCCCAACTGCATCCAGTACCATGACCTTTGGGGCAAGTTGCACAGCATTCAGTATAGAATTAGGGTAAGGTACTAATGCGAAAGAGATTATACCAGCGTGACTAGACCAGCTTCGGGAATCCCTTGAGCGCCCACAGCCGCGGCAGCAGCAGTAACACTGTAAGGTTAGAATGTGCAATGCAGTGCATCGTACCGGCGGTTAATCAAAATCATTCTGCAGTGCAAATCCACAACGTACCTAACGGCAGCGAGCTTGCCCAAGTCCATGGTAACGTTATAGTTTTGTGCAATGAAAATGGCTGCTACTGCTTCATACAGTGCTGTGCCGTCCAGGTTGATTGCAGTAGCTACACAGAATACGCATTTACTCGCGATCGGTAGTTGTGTTCGAATCATATTCATTCACGGTAATTTTACGAAGTGACAATATTGTGGGCAGGCTAAGACCGCTAAGTTTAGTGGCTCTCAGTTCTTACCGATAGGCAGCGTAAAATCGCATATGCTGCAAAATAAGTATTACGTCAAAATTTTCTCGCGAACATATCATAGTGATTTATACAATCGAAATCTGCTCAATACTTAATAAAATCTGTTAAATAACACGAATAACTAGATATTTATTATTGCATCGACTAAGTAACAGGGAGCTGCTGCACAGGCATATGTGTACGCATTTATGTAGCTAAAAAACTTAATTACCGCTCATCAACTTTGTTGTTTTCTTTGCAGCACTCCATAGTTACAGGTAAGGTCGCGGCACTGGAAGCCGTACCGAAGCCGGTGGCGTATGCTCGCAATCCTCCAAGTATGATACGATAAGGATTTTGACGCGTAATCACAAAGCAGACCAGTGGTAGTACGACGAAAGCGTGAATGCATAGCCCGCACTATAGAGTACGTAAAACTGAAGACATTAGTCTTAAATTTTTTATCCAAAATGTACTTAGAGCTCTCGACAGTTTAATATCCAGTTTCACGTATTTTCACGTAACACTGGCGTTCTTGCGTAACTTACTAGCACAGTTAACATGTACATTCCCAGCTGTAAAGCAACAATGCCAGTAAAATACGTATATCATCGAAATAAACGTTCTACAGACATGTACCTGCGCGAATTCCATAGGAAGATTTGTCACTTTCAGCAGCTGTCCCGCTACAAGGAAACATATCCCAATTGGAGCCAACCTACAAATGGCGCAAAATACCATATTCATGTACACTACCCCTTGCATGGCGGTACTGCGTATAAATGTGCTCTCTCATTTGTATAATCATAAAGAGTAAGTTAGCTTTTCGCACCGCATAATCCATCTAACGATGACGGTGATTACGCAATTCAGGCTGCGGAAGAAATCCCCGAAAGGCTTTCCGTGTTCTCCCAATTGAGCAATAGCGATTCCTGTGCAGCATGGCAAGCGCGCGGTGAAACAAACGCGCGGTGATTTCAATTAATACTGCTCATTAAAATTTTGGTAGTAGTAAGAGCGACTCGTGTTGTTTCTGCGCCAAATATTTAGCGCTTGGCAAGCAACAAATTAGGAGCTGTTTCGATACTTACCACAAACCAAGCTGCAGACGACAATGCCCACAATGTTAGTTCCCTCGACAGCTTTTCTTGTAATGATCCAATCACTATAATCTATTACAACTTTAACAACAAGAACTTGTCATTCAGGACAAGTTGACCTTTACGGAGAAATCGCATAAAATGGCTTGCACTCTACTCAGCAATTTACCTTGAACGGCGAAGCGGTTGAGACCGGAGTTAGTACTATCATTGACCACGTTAACATTATTCGTGGAGGACACCTGCATTGTCGTGCTAGTCGGGATAATGTCTGTAGCGTTGGTGACCACTCTATTGGGCGGTGGGTGGAGCTCTGTCTGCTGCTACAAATGTACAAACGTGAACTTTTCATCTGTACATCGAATGCGTAATTAAAGCCATTTAAAGCCATCAAAATAAAATTTTAATATACTTAGTAAATATGTAAGTATTTTAATATCGCCATAGTTTTTAGTACCCGGGCAAAACAAGCTTGAATGATATTTGGAGGGAACATATTCCTGACCAAGTCCATAATCGTATCGGCGGTCATGACTACCCGTTCGGCCCATTTAGGAGCCGGCTTTTGTGCCGTTACGGCAACGCTTTCCTCGTCACCAATGTTAAAATATCCGGGCCGTATGGCCGTGACCATGCCAATGCCGACACACACAGCCAGGAAAACCGTAATCAAGTAATACAGCACGGAGCGGAAACCAATCTGACCGCTGGTGGGGTTGTCGAAGCTGGACAAGCCCGTGATAATGGACGATACCATCAAAGGAATGGTGACACATTTTAGCATGCTCAAAAACAGGTCTCCGATGAACAGCACATATGTGACTTTACGGGGACTTTCATGCACACCCATAGATCGCAATCCAAAAGCCAGTCCTATTGGTCAGAAACATTCCGTATCAAGCGTGATATTACTCTCCTTGGCATCTGCATAGCCTTAATACGTAATAATTGTAGAAAACAGTCATAATGTTATGAAACTTAATCCCCATTTAGCCTACATAGTGGTCGATATTTGATTTCTGTTTTGATCACGGACAGAACTACCAGAGTGAGAAAGGCCGGCTTAAGAAAAAGCTTAAGGTTTCTCAATGCTTTTGACCAATCCTTTGCAGTTCTGGTTTATCGTCAAATCTTGCTCAATATATATCAGCGTGAGCTTAGTTAAGACCCAAATCATTGTATGCAGTGCCAATCGGTAAACTGTGTGTAGTTGGCGACCCATAATTCCATCGAGTATGATGTACCACGTTCTTACCGACTCCGCAACAGATTCCGCCGATAAGGAGCATGACCTTTAAAACAGCCAGACGTTCCTTAAACATCTTTTTTGAGTGATGTCTTTGTATATTACTACAAATTTCTGATGAACAACATAAATTACAGTATATAATTAAACAAGCTGCTTCCGCTGGCCAAACAGTCGGATTACAATAAGCGCGAACACTGTTTAGATGTCTTAAATTAATAACGTGTTAAATCGTAAAGTAACCTAACCGAGCAGAGTTTAACTGGCAATGGGGATGTAATATTGACTATAATATGGTAACAGGATGCAGTCATCGAAAGTCGTCTGATAACGTCATAACAATGCCACTACCTATTTGTTACAATACTGTTCGCCGCCATCTTGTACTTGTACTACAGTAAGTGAACAAACAGAACAAAATTGTAAGCCCGGCAGGCATGCGTTCCAAACAGGTAGGGCTATGTCACTTATTTGTGATAATTCAATGTTTTTTAACCATGTTTATGCATTATCATCCGATTTACCATCCTTGTAGTTAACAGTTATACGAGTACATTTTGCTCATGCAACTGTACTGAACAACGCCCAGTGAAGCGAAGGAAATCAGGCTTTAGACAATTTCTCCTGTCTTTTATACGTTTCACGAATTTCAGAAAATATTAGCTGCACGCATTTCTAGTTACATAATTATCCGAAATTCGTGAGAAGAGCCAGTGTTCCAAGAATGCATCGCACCATAATAGTCTACAGCACCATAATTCTTGTCATTCGTACCGGGACCAACGATGAACATCTTCCACGGTACATGTTTCTACCTTTCTTCTATCTTCACTACCGGCTTCATCAACAACATTCTCCGATTATTTTGATACGGAAACCGTTAAAGAGTCGAAATCGTTAGCAGCCTCGAAATACACGGTTTCTTTTGCCGACTCTGTTCCGAGCTGCATAGACTGTTTTAAATAAAATTTAATTATCTTGAGGAAAACCTTTGATAAACAAGACGTCAATGTAGACGTAGGCTGGCGGAACAGAAATTCGAGCCAAGTACACATATGTATTCGCAATATAAAATTCGTGTGTTGCCTGCTTCCGGCGACACATCCGTTTACGATTTACTGATTGATTTCGGATTACGTCAATACTACTTTTTCCTACTACCGGCGCAAAACCCTACATTTTTATTCATGAATTTGCATATCGGAAACCACGCTGCCAAGGCTGAATCTGGAAACCCGCCTTTTGGCATCGGTGTAAAACTAAACGACTTTGCGTCTATAAATTACATATTATGGTCAGATCCGGATCTTTCGCCTTGGGGAGCATGCGAAACGAGACGCAGTCGAAATAATAGTAGCCAGGATTTACACTACACATTTTGCCTAAGCGAATAAATTTTTTTCAAAATTACTGCAATCTGCAGCTGCATGAACTGTGCAGAGAATTATAAAAGCGACTGCAAAATTGTGAGTAAGCTAGGGATTTGTGGGTTTAGACTTTTCCCGTGCAAGTACAGCTGCTGAAAAGAAGCCGTATGTACAATACAGTAGAGCCCTGCAACGGATTGGTAAATCCGAACCGCTCCGAATCCACTCCGATTTTCGGAGCGGATTGGACGGATTTGTTTTAAAAAAATTCGGATCGGAGTGGTTTCGGAGTTTAGGCTTGCCTGAATGGATCGGATTCGGATGTAATTAGGAATCCGAATTATCCGAAATAAAATTGTATTTTCAAATAATTTTTATAGAATTTCCATAATTTTTAGGACAAAATGCATCGTCAGCTTCGCGCTCCGCGCGAGGCTTTAGTGTGACTCAGTAAAGCACTGAACATAGCTACTTCTATTACGTTAACTTCAGTTACTGTGCCATTTGTTAGAGGCGAAGCTTGTTCAATCAAAAAAAGAAACCTGAATTAGGTACAACTTTTATGAGTTTTTTTGTTGAGAACTAAAGGAGATGCCACTAACACGTGAAAGCAACTGTGGTTTTTGCGATGGCAAAAATACCGAAATTTTCGGAACTCGCAACTCGAAAAACGCCCAGGTATGAGCAATCTATGGCTAAAACGACGCAAAATTTATACGGAGAATGGAGATTACATAAAAATTAAATAAACGTTCTGAAGATTTTGAAAATTGAAAATTTTGATGACAACTTGGCGTGCGCTATCTTTAATTGTTGCAGCGGATATTATAGGTATGTATTATAGATTTTTCTGGAATGGGACAAAAAATAAATATGACAAAAATTTTCGGAGCGGATCGGACTGGATTCGGATTTGTAAAAAATATTTACGGATCGGAGTGGTCGGAGTATGATTTTGAAAATTCGGAGTCGGACTGGGTTCGGAGAAAAATTTATTAGTTCGGATCGGACTGGACGAAGTTTTCGACTCCGTTGCAGGGCACTACAATACAGTGTACGTAGCGCGGATCACCTAACATCGAAACCAGTGCGGCATCCAAATGTGGGAAAACAACGTTAGCATGGAGACTGGACAAGCTTCTGGATAAGATGAGCCGTTGCGGCAGTACTATCCGTGAGTTACGTTTTTTGATTTGCTTAGAAGCGCAATATATTCCGCTGGCTGTTTTAAAATAATGACTGATGGTTTTTTTCAGAACTGCATTTAGGAAAATTGATTGTATACGGAGGGCTTTTATTCTCGTCTACATTAATTTCGATGTTTTTCCTTTTTAGCACTAAGTAGCCAGGTCTAAAATCCCATGCTAGATTGTCATTCTACTGTAGCTGGAAATGGAATGCCTGCTCTGATTTGAATTAAATTAAATTACAGCGCGTGACTCACACGAAAATCAAGCAGAGGCCTAAATTTCGACTTGGCGCATAACAGACAGTAGTATGCGGCATACCACTTACAGAGGCTCAACGCAAAGTATGCCGCAATCGTTTTTTCCTATGAGTGATAACATGATGTGTGGTAAAATACGTACTTCGGAGCAATAAGAAATATACAGTAATACACTAGCGTGGCTATTTCGCTCAAACAAAATTAGCTTAATTAATGCGGCAGATTCCAGTTTAGTTGACAGGCATGATTGAAAATGAGAGAAAGGAGCATATAATTATGGGTTTTAGGTAATAACATCTGGTGAGTGATCACTGGTCAAGCAGCTAAAACACATAGCCGAGAATCAGTAGATGTAAATCGCATGCATTATTAATTTAATTAACACCACATCTTTCTTTGTTTTTTATGGTGCAGGGTTTTTGTTTTTTTTTTGTGGTGCAGTAATGGTGCCTAATCTCATCTGATACTCGAGTAGACCCGCTAGTTAGATAGCTGCCGACAACGCGTTAATTAGAGCATCCGAAAATGTTACTGTGTGCTTAATTCGGATGCAGTACCTCGAAAAATGCACCACGCACTACGTGTAAGTATAGTAGGTAAATTTTAGAAGTACGTATAAGTATATTTTTAGACTACCGTACGTTACTGACTTGGAAATGTTACCGGCATAATCTGCTTAACTTGGCGCTATCTACGCAAACTGCAAACAGTCTTTTTCGAACAGGTGTGCGGAAAAAACTTCCGTCTTATTAATCCCATAGCTTTTTTGTTGAATGCTTTCTTATCCAAAAACCCGTTACTGCGCGCATACTTGGTTCATCAGCGCTTGCGGCAAAGCACTCAGCCCACTAGCATTATTATCATTACTAATAATGAGCTCATATTTTTCTCTTGCAACAATTGTGGTCTGGTTAATTTCTGCCGATACAAGCTGGTACTTGTAAGTTGAGAGAACTCTCATTAACGGCACACGAGTATTATTTCTTAATTGTTTTTTTTTTGCGAATTCTGATTTTTCATGCATGAGCATTCGCACAAATACCAATTTATAGGTAGCTAATGTATGCACATCCGCTTAAATCCCGAATATATTTCGGACTTCAACCGGGAAACTCGTCTTAATGTTGGTATCTACACAACTTTCCAAAACTCATTCCGTTCCTGCTAAAAACTCGTACGTACGTGGTACTGACATTTTTGAAAACTGTTCAATTTACTGCGTTATTTAAATGGTATTTTTATAAAACAGAATTTCAGTTTTCAGTGGCAAATGCCTTCCCCATTATATTCTCCGCCACCCGTAGTTGACATTGATCCATATCATGGAAGAAAGATCGGATTCAATAAAAGCTATTTTACCAGTATCGGCGGAATTTTAAAAGTGGTCGCTATGGTATGCAAAAATATGCAATCCAGCTCATATTAAGGCCAATTTGTATTAGTACTTTTTATGGAATCCTCCCGTTGCTGCCACAGAAAACATCTTGCATTTGGATAAATATTTCATGTTTTATCGTAATTTTAAATTATTGTAATTCATAAAAACCTGTGTCATCCTCTAATATCCAGGTGTGCGCATTAATTGCAATGATAGCGCTGGAATCGGGAATCCATCGAGAGCACGGCGTGCATTTTCGCGTTACGGGAACAACATTTCACGAATTCACCGTTGTCACGTCGTGGTTGTTCCTAACAATTTTCATTGCATTGGCGGGATTTGTCGTATGGACGACTACTGGATTAAGTGAAACCGCTATGGATGCCATTGTATATAACTCTGAGAAGCGTTGCATGTAATATCGAAAACAGGTGATGGTTTATATAATTTTGTCGCACATCTTTAGGTAATTGGACATTCGGCGTTGTGGTGCACTATCACTTTCATCTCGTCATGTGTTCTAGCGGGCTCTACAAACTATTCGCCATTTGCAGCAAGTGCAGTAAGTCGTGAATGCCTGCAATAAATAACAATTAAATGTACAAGCTTGTCCGGTAATTTCTGCCGGTTCAATACAGCGAAATACACAAATTTGCGTGTTACGCCAAACGTAGTGTAGTGGCAATCGCTATAGCGCAAACTTCGCGCTAAATACGTGCTATCTGTACCTTTACGACAGAAATTGCCGGACAGGCTTGTACAATAAATATCAATAAACAGATATTGGTAATACCACTCGTTTATTCAGACAAGTCTGATCTCTGGTTATCTGCAGGCCTTTGGATTTCTTGAGAGTTTGGCTCTTCTGGGAGTCATTATTGTTACGAGCCGGGCTTTAATCAAGCGTTTTCGGAAATCCTCTTCTTCGAGGGATATCCGTGTCAGAGATCACGAGCAGAGAAAATTAAACTGGTATGGGCGACACTAACGAGTTTTTAAATTTTGCAAAAGCATCGGCGCTACTCTGTAGCACAATAATTATGATACATTGCAAAATACTGATCTGATCTGTACACACTGTCTGTACTAATTGTTCAAATGTACAATATAAGCAAAAATAAACAGTTTCCTTTGGTTATATACTGTATTTATACTGTATATGGCAGCTTCCGCTTTATTGGCAGAATCAGAAAAAGCATGAAAACAAAACTACCGGTAACCATTAAATCTGGTACAAAATTGTTGCATATCAAATAGCAGAGGCCGGCCTACCTGGATCAAAGTTGCTTTTATCACGGCGCTGGCTTTTAGAATTAGCTTTTACACGTACTGCAAATAGTTGACCTTTGAATGTTCCAGGCACTCCGTGTACTTACAGGCTACAGCGTACATGCGCGCCGTGTAACCGTGGTCGCTAGCTTTTCTTGTAGGGGTCCCACTGGTAAAGCGGCAAACGACAAGCCATTTTCCTTTATTTTTGTGGAAAAGTTCAATGCTTCAATGCAGTACAATTCAATTTAACACAATACAGTACAATAATAGTGCTATATCTATACAGTAATAAATTATTAGTATTATACTTCATGTACTATAATTATGGAAGAGAATGTACAATTTTGATTTCCCGTAAAGAACGGTCCATATGCTAATGCTTTCGGCACAACTTTTTATATACTGTACATACGAAATCCCCAAGAACGACAACCTCTAAACACTTCTTAAAAAAAGGCTTTAGCGCTGGCAACGTGGTTCTGAAGATTGGATTTTAAGGCAATTTTGAACCATTATCAACGCCTTGACAACGTGGAGCACTTTTGAATGTTTTGCAGAAGCCGAAGATTCCCGTGTTACGGACATCTGCTGCAAAACCTTACAAGAGAAAATAAACAGTCCCCTTAACCACAACTTACGAGCAACTTACGAGCACACTCTCTTGGCGTAGTTTTTCCCTAACCGGCGACCGCACTCTGTAGTACGACTCGTATAGTACTAACAAAACATTTCTGCTACTGTAATGCAAGATACAGTCAACGCTGTGCAATCAAACATGTACGGTAACCTTAGAATTTTCCGAATCAGAAGGTAAAACTGGAAGGAACTATAGTAACCTAACTGCTCCGTTAGCTTTGCATGGTCAGAATCATGCCTTTCTCGTGTTACGTAAAAATTACTGTACGAAATGCTACTTTTAAAATAGTGGACTGCGTTCTGGATTATTTCGAATGCAAGCCACGCTAAGCACGCCTGCGATATTTTATTTGAAGTTTTTGGCCGATGAAATCGCAACGATATCAGTAGGTCAGCTTTAAATACAATTGCTTTGGTCCTTGAGAAATTTCAGATCGACCAAACAGGGATGCACTTGACAAAGTTAAGCAGAATACCGCTTAACTTTAACACGTGGCTACAATAATAGGAAACACGACACACTCAAGCTGTAAAATAGCAAATTCAATTTAAAAAATCCCTGCACGGAATGATACATAAACTTTTCTCCGTGACCTCTCAGCAAACGCGGTAATGTAATGCGCTTATGGGAGTACGTTGATTTATCCAAATGGCAAACCTTCTACAGCATCGATCATGTGCAGGATAAGTCGGCTTAGAGGCAAAGCATCGAAATTTCGCACATCCAAATTTTCCCAGTAATGCCCGTCTGTCATCAATGCGTTGAATGTGTGACTGCAGAAAAAGCATCATGTAACTATTTATGAAGATGTACTGTAATATTACGAGACTGTGGTTAAACAAAAAAATTGTAAGTAATTAGATTCCGACGAGAACTACCTAGTAAAACACTCCAACACCACGAAACGGCGGTTTTTTTGGCACTCAATCACATTGCCTAACCTAACTACGTATGTATGTATTGTAATTTTCTGCAGCGAAGACTCACGTTAGAACTACAATACAATAGTAGTACCTCTACAGTAGTATCTCTACAGCCTTTCTAAAACATCGAGATTAGGTGTAGTTAGGGTTAATGCGGCCTGTGTTCTCGGTACCATGAATGTGTGGTCAAATACGCGGGACAATTCTAACGATTTTGGTTGCTCTTTTAGCGTATAAATCCAAATCATTTGAAGTAGTGAGGCCACTGATGCTGCTTATGTCGCTCTGATGGCTATTATCGAATAAAGAAACGTAAAAAATAATATCTCTACTGTCAGAGTCTGTACACAGCTGTGTATAGGCTCCTTTTATTTAGAGAACATTTAACTAGCTTTGAAATTCGAATCTATTGGCTGGTTACGTTAAACCAAAATCGCACTTTAACTTGAAGTAACTTTAAGACTGAGCAGCGAAAGGTACTACAATACGATAATAATTATTATTATTGCAAATTACGAGTACGACTGTACGACTGCAAAAACGATTGTACTGTAATCATCAGATCACTGTTCTGCAGTGCCATTGGCCATTTATTTTGTGGTGGACTAGTGAAAATATCTGTTGATAGTGTTTTGTATTAAAGCGTTAAGCCGTTAACCGGAAATTAATTATTGACGCCAATACTAGCACCTCCTCAACAAAGTTCGGAAGTTTTGCCATTGGTCGGGATAGGACAACGTTCCTACCATCACTCGGTGCTGCTCCCTCAGACGGTCTCTGATCCCATCCGCAGGCGGCAAGGAATTTTCTAGGTAATCCATGTACTGTCGTCTTATTTCGTTCTGCGTGACGGAACAATCAAATGACATTCTGGGAATTGTGATCGCCGTATCCTTTGGTTTTGCTTGGGGGCGGGTCAGCTTTGTTAGGCAAGTTTCGAAGCATGACATCACTGGCGTCCTAACGGCATAGTCCCATACCAATAACCGATGACAGAATGGCATCATTTTGGGTAGGAAGTCCAACACATGTTGCCGGCCTCCAGGACGGACCTGACGATAGCTGAATTCGTGTTCCACCGTGCTGCCTTTGATCCCAATAATCGGTAACTTGGCACACTTTAGTTTAAATAGCGAACAAACCGTGTTCATAACGAAGAGAGTATAACTTATGCGATGATCCATGTTAATTAGGATTAGGGACTTTGCAAAAGGTGTCACACTGCGATCCAGCAGATCAGCTAAATAATATCCTTCCGTCTCTTGCAAACCTGGTGGGTATTTGCTGATACATTGAAAGTCGATTGCGACTCTGGCATATGAAGGCGAGGCATCCAGTACTGAGTGCCACAGTCCACAAACCCTGGATAAATGGTAGATATATTTTTGGCTGATTTTCCGAAATTATTTATCTCGAAATTAATTCTTTAATCGGCACCTGCCATTGCACATAATAATACGCCTGCGTGGGTTTACAGTTTACACTAATAAAAGTTCCGAATTTGAATTTTTCGAAATTAGATTATTAGCAACTTCTATAGGGTTACCGTTTGGCCTTCGCTTGGGAATGGACGTCTAGATACAGTAAAATATCTGACAAGATGGCGAATTCGAACACTCCTGTGATGAACTCTCCAAATTCTGTAGCAAACAGAAATATATAGAACGTAATTATAATTTTAAAACGCGCTATACGTAAACTGCAATGTATAAACCGGCGACGGTTAAGCTGATATATTTAATTTGAAGCAGAAACTCGCGGTAATAACCCAAACATAATAATAACATACATCTTGTTACTTAACTGTATCTGTAAATAAAAGGTCAGTGCAATGCAATCAGGGCGCAACCATTTGCTATTAGGCGTTACTATTAATTTAATTTAATTGCAATCACAGCAGGTAGCCCATTACCGGCTAGGTTGACAGTCTAGCATGGGATTTTAAACCTGGCTGACCTATCGTGATGCTATCATGCTACCATGGTTCCGAAGCAAGCGAGTGCTTCAAATACCTGAGCCATGAACGAGTACTTGTGCGCCTTTGGCTTTATTATCATGCTGAAAAAAAATTAAGAAACATCGAAGTACAAAGAAGAAATGTAATTCTGACAATGGCTCAAAGAGATAATCGAACTAAAATAATCTCAAAACCGTCAAAAAAACGTGGACGATTTACATGCGAAACCACCAAACCGAATAACGCTTTCGGCTGAGCAAGCAGCTACTCTACGAGTCTCTTTAAACTGTCCGCTAAAAGATGATTTCGAAGAAATTAACAGTGTACCATTTTAGCAATTTCAGTAATAGTTATCTTTGTACATTTGCAACGCAATAAATTCCGGCCTTTAGCTAGAACCAACAAGTTCTTGTCATTCGCACAGTTAAGTTTATAGGGCGCACAGCCATATCACTTCGCACCCTGACTGGGCGCATAGGCTGCATAGCCAATTTGCCCGATTGTCGGAGCGCACAGCCATTTCGTAAACGAGAAAACTTATTACAAAATATCTATACTTTATGTATCTGTATTTATGACTTACGTACTACAGAAAAACGTCTATACGTGGTCTGTCTGTATATGTGTTAACGTCACAGAATAACGTCTATACATAAGGATATTAATCTTATTAATATTTTATACAGGACTGAAAAGTATTAGCACAACATGTGGCCCACATGTACTGACCGGGGCACATTTTCCCCCTCCAAGTCTCATATTTTGTAATATGGTAGTGTATATATTAATATTTATACAGGACTAATATATTTTATACGTGCCGGCATGCAGTCGATCCTTTACGTTCGCGCTACGGACTCGCAGTGGAACCAGATGACACTACCGATCAGAGACGGGGGATTGGGACTGCGTACCACTAAGTCGCTAGTTTTCCAACCTTTTTGGCTTCCGCGCACTCAGTGGTTTCGTTGGTTTCGGCAATCTACCATCCTGCCTCGGTAACGCTTCTGGATCATGTAGCAGAACAGTGGGCAGAAATGGCCTGAATGCGATCGATATTCCAGCAGAAGAAAGTAAAAAATTTCAGTGGGCTTGGGATCGACCGATGATCAACCGTGCCGTGTCATCCCTGAAGTCGTCAGCCGTGACCGAAACCGAGAAAGCGGTGCTGCTGGCTGTCCTTCACCGGGACTGTGGCGCATGGTTAAATGCTCTTCCAGCCCCAAATTAATTTGCGTACATTCCTGCGGGATGAGGAGATTAGGATTGGAGTTTCTCTCCGATCTGGACTCCCTGCGGTCGAAGAACATAACTGCGTGAACTACGAAAGCCGCGTAGAAGTGAATGGCCTCCACGGCTTGTCCTGCTCGAGAAGTAAAGGCAGATGGTCACGCCATGTCGAGCTCAA